TAAAAATTAAATTTCAAAATGTTGTTTTATAATTTTGATTTTTTTTTCCAAAAATCTGGACATTTCGGGTGAAAAGTCGATTCAGAGTTGTAAACTACATGTGTAGGACTATGTTATTTTATACAATTGAAAACCCATTTACTATGTACAATTTTGAAGTGACGTCATCGCATTAGTGGTGGGGATGATTAGACAAATTTTGGTTAGCGTTTTACCATCTACATGATATTCTTAATATAAGTACAAAATTTCACAACAATCGGTCGAGTACTTTCAGAGATTATCTGTCTAATAAAATCCGGGACAACAGACGGACAGACGGACGGACAGACGGACAGACAGACGGAAATGGGAGACCTATTTCTTCGTCTTCTAGGGGTCATGAAAGATCGAGAAAACGTAAAAGTAGAGAGTCGGCCGACGGACTCGATTACAATACTTCCTTTGCTTACGCTCGGGAAGTAAAAAATACTTTATGTAGGACTCAAAAGCAAACTTTGTAGTTTCTGTAAAATCTATATGAAACAGAAAAAAGAAATTCCAACACATACCTGTTTTAAAAACTGGGAGCAAACATCTATGTCCATGAAAGCTTCAATTATCTTAGAGGGATTTACTTTAGATACTTTTTAGGAGAATTATAGGCGACGAGGATAGTAGCGTATTAAAAAAAGTTCGGGCTGCAAAACCAAATGATGCATATTATTTTATAGTAAAAATTGAATGTAGAAATCACATACTTCGTAATTATTGTTCCAAAATTCGAGAAATAGTTAAAACAACGAAAGCAGATATTAAAAATGTTTTTAAAAATAGTATTCTAAAATTTAGAACAGCTATTATAAGTGCTATTAAATTTAGCAAAAATGAGCCTCTTCCTTCTTTTCCAGCATATATTTGGCAATCACGAACAATGTGCAAGTTATTTTTGTCATAAAAGTGGACAGTCAAATGATATTTTAATTTCTACTTTCGCAAATGGTGTTTTATACGAACCTTACAAACAAGTTTTAAATAGAATTGCAACTTTGTCGTCTAGTTTACTTTTTGATATTGAGAACAATGCTGTGGAATGCTACAATTTTGTCGTTAATAAATTTGTGGGAGGAAAAAGAATAAGTTTTCAAGTTTTTCTGCACGAGGATCGTATCAAGGGTGATGCTTTCCTGCGGCAATAAGTTATAATAATAAGGGTACGTTCCTAATTCCGTTATTCAAAAAAAAAATTGGGGAGGCCAATGTTAGTATACGAAGGCGTTTGTGGAACAAAAATTGAAAAAAACAAAAACGATTAATAAAACTAAAATTTCTATTAAAAAATTGCGTATCCGAAGTCTGGATTCCGGTAAAAATAATATCGTCAACGATGAACAAACGAAAACGAAGTGTATGAAAGAAAAAAATCGGATTTATTAATAAAGCTGTCACAGAGTAACGTAAACGCTATTGAAAAAGGTACTTGTGGTCAGCGAATGTGTAGGGAATGGAGTAAAGAAAGGACAAAATGAGAGACGGAATTAACATCGCAAATACCGTTAAAAGTATTGTGCATTCCGATAAAACTTTATGAAAAAATTGCCCAAGTCTATACAATTTGCTATTGACAATGAAAAAAAGGCCAAAGAAAAATTTGAAGCTCTAACAAATTTGAAAAAAATTTTTAGGAGCTTCTCCAGATGGGTTAATAAATTCTAATTCAATTGCAGAGATTAAATGTTCATATGCGGCTTGCAGTAAAAATATTAAAGAGCTATTAAAAATAAAATCATTAATTTATTGTTCAATAAATGCAGTTATTACAATTACCTAGTTTGAGCCCGAACCACAACTATAGGTATGTATCAGGTATAACAGGGTCCAGTGCATATAACTAAAAGATATATATATCCTTCTTAATGCTATTGTCAGGTACTTCAAAGGGTGGTCAAATAAGCTTAAGGTATTTAAAAGGTGCTCTATTGTGTGGGCCATAAATTACAGCTTACAGCTTCAGCTAATATTTTGGGTTGCCTAACTTACCAAAATTTGCCCAAAATGCTTTGCAGTTTTTTTACAATAACTAAAAGAAGTAAAATTTTAACAGAAAACGAAGACTGGCGCCTAAAGTAGAAAAAAATTCTCTATCACCTCGATATTTTTTAAAAGCACACCGAGTTATAGTTTTCGCTAAAAATCCGCTGGGGTTTTACGCACTTTATTTTTTATTTTAAAAACTGCTACGTTTTTTAAAAAATACAAGACGCTTCCTTAAAGATTTTTATGTCATTAGCACGCACATGTTTCGCCCTGCTCTTCAACTGTTAAAATAAAGGCGCAAAATGGGTTGGCGTTTTGCCTTGTTTTGGCATCTTTTAATGACTGTGTGGCGGAGCCTTAACTTTATCAAATTATTACAAAAAGAACATATAGTCCAGTCATTTTAGGATAAAAAAGGGATCAATCTCGGAATGAGAGATAATAAGCTGAATTTTTGTATATACCTTAATTTTGGCGTTTTAAAAGTTGTGTCAAAAGTCTCATAAAATCTCGTGTCTGCGTCGTAAGTTATTCAAGGTCAAAGATGAAGAAAAACAGTTTTTTGCGATTATCTCGGCTTCTATTGCTCCAGTGATGTTAACATCTATTATCATAATTGTAGAGCACAAAATTTGGTACAAATTTCATTTGAAACATTTTTTCATGCGCTCAATCGTTTTTGAGATAGAGAGCAGTGAGCTTGCAGCGCTCATCCATACGTACTGTATTGCAATCAACCGTGAATATCTATGAATACTACCTTGAATTTTGAAAAATTTGTATTATTTATCAATTAATACATTGTATTTAAACATTTTACATATTTTCAACATATTCATTGAATAATACTTACCTACTTTGTGTAATTAAAAACGCATTTAATGAACTATTTATTGTATATCTCAATTTATTTATATCTTTAAAATGTGTAAGGTTTTAAATACTTATTTTTCTATCATGATTATAACTGGAAGGTCTGGAAACAACGATTCAGGGCACCGAAGATGATAACGATGAAACAGAAATTCCCGAACGTCCAGAAGATGACGGTGAAGAAGAAGAAAATTAATACTTTTGTTCTTTAAATTATTAAAGATTTCTAGATTTTCACCGCAATTCCATTTCAATCGTAAGAAATGTACAGGTACTGAACAAAGATAAAATTAAAATACATTAACTCGTTTTACTTCCTTAAACTTTTACTTTGAAAAAATTAATATAACTTTGAGATATATAATAATATAACAGGTATAATATATTATCTAATATATAAAAACTTACACATTTGAAAGATAAAGTACTTAATTATTTTTCTACTTAAAATCTACTTTCAATAAATTAAGATATACATACAATAAGTATTTCATTTAAAGAGTTTTTAATTCCACAAAGCAGGTAAGTATCATTATCATTAAATGAATGTATTGAAAATATGTAAAATGTTATTAAATGCAATGTATTAACTGATAAATAATACAAATTATTCAAAATTAAAGGTAGTATTCACAGATATTCACGGTTGATTGCATTACAGTACGTATGGATGAGCGCTGCGGGCTCACTGCCCTCTATCTCAAAAACGATTGAGCGCATGAAAAAATGTTTCAAATAAAATTTGTCCCAAATTTTGTGCTCTACAATTATGATAATAGATGTTAACATCATTGGAGCAATAGAAACCGAGATAATCACAAAAAACTGTTTTTCTTCACCTTTGACCTTGAATAACTTGCGACGCAGACACGAGATTTTATGAGACTTTTGAGACAACTTTTAGAACGCTAAAATGAAGGTATATACGAAAATTCAGCTTATTATCTCTCATTCCGAGGTTGATCGCTAATTTGACTGGACTAATAACCATATCTTTGTACAGCCTAACTGAAATGGTAATTAAACATGGTCATGGGCGAGAAACATATTAACTAAAAGTCTTTTTAGTTATTGTGATAACGAATAGTTGTTAAACGTAGCAAAAGAACCAATTTTAACATCATTATAACTCCACTAAAATGTGAGAATGAAGTTTTTTACTATTTTTCCCAGACTCACCAATTGATTGATAAGAGCGTAGCGGAGAGTTAACCAGGTATATACACGGTGAGTCACTAAGCACACAGCTTAGTTTTTTCAAATGGAACAACCTATATACTTTTACATTATCTAATTGACCTCTTGTTAGGCTTTCCCACAACTTATTTTTAAAATTCCACTGAGATGTTACCACGTTATTCCAGTTTTCGAAATTTTTTAGCAATGGAAGGGTTCACCACAAAATCGCAGTAGGATTATTTTTAAAATCTGTGATACAATATCTTGTGGAAAGATGAATAAAGGTACGCGCTAAATAAAATTGAGTCTTATTATACGAGTGTTTATAAAAATATTTACATTATTACAATTTTCGAATATCCATATTTCAGTTTTTTTTAAATAGAACACCTGGATTTTATTATTGCATCTTAGTCTATTCCTTCTTCTCTCTTTTTTTGAAGTGTTTTCTATTAAAGTTTAAAGTGCAATTTTAATTTTTTTTATTTTAACTCATTTTAGCAAAACCAACTGAACATTATGTATCAGTCACATCTACTAAACGTTTACAATAAACTTACATTTACTTTTGATATACACTAATCTCAGGATATATTGATTTATAATACACAAACGGATTATGTATTTTGTAATAAAAACAGAGATAGTAATGGCAACGTAACGAATTAATACCTATAAGACAAGTTACGTGGAAATCCAAAACATACTTTCGTCTTTATTTAAAAGAACATCTTGGGTCACATATTTATTTTATAAATTTTAGGTAAGTTTGCAACAAGTAACAACCAAATGATGAAAAACCACACAGTAATCTGCGAATTTAATATCTAAAAATAATTCTTCGAGTAGGTATTTAACCTTCTTATTCAAAATATGATCATTTAAAATAATTGTGCACATGTACAAAATAACATAGACATGATAAAACTTACTTGTGCGGTCCACATAATACAACGACGGTAGGAAATTGATGAGAATTATGTGGATTCAATCTGTGTCCTCCACCTAACAACTGAATACAGATTTCAGTTGCGGCTCTGCCTAATAATTCAACCCGTTTATCCCATGTTAATCCAACTCTCTCAGCAACTTCCCATAACTTTTTCCTCAACGATCTCGAAATACTGGGTATAATTAGACCATCATCTGTTACATATTCACAGAAATCTTGTTTAGGCACTATAATCTGCCTATAAGTAGCTGGAGTCGTTGCAATTACATTTTCGTCATGTCTAGAAACAACACATTACATCAAAATAAAAAAAAATGTTAATACACACCTGTATTTGGATGGTTTTTTGTTATCAACATTACGAATCACATCTGGCTTTTGAGAGTTATTTATCTCATCCCAAATGGCTTGCTTATCAAACAAAGCTAAATTCTTTTCAAAGTCAAAATCTTTATTAATCTTGTGATCTAAAGGTGAACCAAAACATTCTTCATCTTTCCAACCCTTAGACCACTTACCCTTTGACTTTTCTCTTTTATTTGGAGTTCCATTTTTAAATGAACTTGATTCATTAAAACTGTAATTATTGTTCTTAGGTTCAATATCTATAGGTTTAGATTTACTATGAGATCCATTCACGTTTGTGTGTTTTGTTGTGGAATTTGTAACGTCTGAGGTGCTCTGGGTACGTCCAGCTCGCTTAGCTATGGGTTTGGCAATTGTAATTGTGCTACTTTGTTGTGGTGAGCTGGACTGTTTATCTATCAATTTTAATTCTTCGATTTCGTTTGCTCTACAACAGGAATTACCAAATTTTATTACATACATTCAGAAAATCAGAAAATCTTTTACCTTATGGTGACTTCATTTTCGGGGCACGGTATGCCGTTACAGAATGCCTTGGTAAGAGTAATTTCTGCAGTAGTGGCTGCGTTAATTTCTCCTTGATACGCTGCATCATCTGCACATTTAATAGAAACCATATAACCCATCCACTGTGCCATTTTTTTTACAAATATTAACAGCACAATCCAACAACTGGTTGCTTCAATATTTAAAATGAGGTTAGGTAACAGTGCGCAGTAGAATTCGTTATTATCTCGTTTTTTGTGTAAATTAACTACACTTGTTAAAAACGCGTACCAAACGTAATAAAAACAAATATTTTCAACAATTATAAACCATCCAACAGCACCTCTCACGTACAGAACGCTTTTCGTAGCTGTTCTATTTTCGGACCGTTTTCTAACGTAATAAATTCTGAACTCTAAAAACCCAAAAATAAACTAAACACAACATGAACTCGCTTACTCTTTCTCACAAACGTTATTTCTCACTGCGGGATCACGTTTCCTCAGTCGACTATCCTTATTTAACTTTAATACCACCACTACAGTTCGATACGCAAGGTACATCGTAGGAGTAGAGGTGGGGTTATCTACAAAACTTTATTTATTTTTGTTTTATTTTGCAAGTTCAATCAACAGAACGAACATTTTTCTGAACCATTATATGTATGATTTCAAAAGTAGGAGCAAAATTTTCACATAGAAAAAGTTTTCACAGATGAGGAATATACTTACTGTTCCCACTTATAAAGGCGACAAACACAACCTTAACAGAACCTTAATTAGTAAAATAAATCGTTTCCTTCATTATTGTAATAATACATACAAAATTTCACAACACTCAAGTCAGTAGTTTCGAAAATTATCTGTCTAATAAAAAAATTGCAGACAGACGAAAACGGATACCTACAGTGTGAATGCGTGATCACAAATAATGAGTCTATTGATGGCAGACTTTAAATATATTATATATTGTGGTGACCGAATTTAAATCAAAGTTTTCGCGCTGAAATTAATTAACAGCGGCGCGAAATCACATTTGAATGATTTGAATTTGAAAAAAAATTAAATCACAAAAAGGAAATCGTTAAACATAGGCAAGCAAATATGCACTTCGGGTTTAATGCATATAGTGCCCCAGGCACCAAGTTTGTTCTGCAGGGTTTAGTTATAGCGCTAGGGAGTTTTTAGTTAGAGGGTTGGGTGGTTGGTAGAGAAGCTGCATGGCGTAGCGTCATTATTCTGAATGTGCTTGTGTGAGTGTAACCACGTGGTAAGCGCTAGGTTTAAATTCGTTGGTTTGGTAGTTAATAAAACGGGAGGAAGCCTTTGTTTAACGACAATCAATCGTAACTTTCATAATGATATAGTTGTCCCCAACCGGCGCGGTTAATTCTTGCGCCCTTTTAATCGAAGAAATGCGGACTTCCGGTCGACGCGAGACACGTGCCGTAAATTTGTTTCATTGTTTGTAAATTCACCAATCAAGTTAGTTTTTCTTCATAGTCAGCTAGTGCAAATACAACTTAACAATAAGGATTATTTAAATAAACCACTTGCTAGAAGATTTCATGAAATTCACTTAGTCAGGAAAACACCTTATTGTTTAATTACGAATAAGCTTCTGGATGCATATACGTAAGCGTTACGTTATAACACTTCTTAATTCTTCACACAAGATTGCTAATAGTTCATTTACGGCAGTTAAACAAGTTCATTATACTGCGAACTGGCGGGGGTTATGATATTTTCTTCCCTTAGGTGGTTATCATCGTTATCATGATTAATTCATCGAGGCATGTCTCACAACGCCACAGATTGATTAATTCATCGAGGCATGCCCTCACAACGCCACAGATTGATTAATTCATCGAGGCATGCCTCACAACGCTACAGATTGATAGAGGTCCGTCCTCGCGACGCTAGAGATTAATAACATCACCGAGACGCTTTTTCCTCGCAATGATATTAAAATTTACATCACCGAGACGCTTTTCCCTCGGAGCGATGATTGGATATTTTTGTGTTTGTTTATTATGTGTTTTGTTGGGGTAACCAGTTCGCGGTATTTTAAACTCTCAAAGTAATTTGTTTTTTTTTTTAAGTAACCAATCACTTAGATCATGATATAATTTGACATAACGTAAACTCTTTGTTTGAACCGTTGATAAAGTGTGGCAAATATTAATCTCATGTAAATTTTGTTAACTCTGCAATTTTCCAGCTCATACAATATTTCCCAATCTCACAGTTTTAACTTCAGTAATTTTAGTTGTTGTATAATTTTAATTGGACGTAAATTTCATGTTCTACAGTTTTAACCTCACAGAATATTTCTATTTGTACAAGTTCATTTCACACCAGATCTCTTGTTTCATAAATCCTTGCTAAGTTTTGTTTGGTAAATACTTTGTTGATGAATGTTTCTATCATATAAATTATTTGATGCCCAACTTTAATCTCACATAACAATTATTTGTTGTTTAAAATTTCACAAGGTTGTATGGCGAATCTAAATGTTGTTTATTGCTCTTTGAGACTTTAACACTTGTTCAGTTGTTGTTAATATCAGAGCACGGTTGTAGAATAGATAGGTTTGTACACTAATGGCTTGGGATGGCGACGCTTCTTTTCGATCCCTATATCCATGGAAAGGACACATACAGCTAGCGCCTCTACCTTGTCGAGCGGAAATCATTCTAGTTATTTTGGGGATTTTCGTTTACATTGCTTTATGAACAATGCAAAATTTGTAAATGACATTTGATCGGAGTCGATAAGTACGATTTCTTTTATTAATTACATCGGTTATAGACAGATGCCTATAGAGTTCTGTGTCCCTAAAACGTCAAAAACCAGGCGACGCGATCGGCAATTGGCGTCGCTGACCAGGGATATGCAAATGTATGCTAGTGTATCAACCTATCTATTCTACAACCGTGTATCAGAGTTATAAGAGATTGAATATTTAAAAATGGAATTTGAGGTTAAATGACACAGAAAACGTGGCAGAAGCGAAGTTTGGTTCCTAGTCGAGCTGGCGAGATTTATCATGTCGCCTGTACAAGTCCACAGGTTTAGATAGATTCAGGGACGGCAGCCGATGTAAAGTTCTCGGCTTCTGCCCATAGCCGAGATCCTCTTGCGGGTCTGGCGACCGTAATGGCCTAGTTCCGCAGGGCACGTTCGTAATGTAGATATGCCTGTGGGGTAGGCTTTGTGATAGATAGAATCACCGTCGTGGGGGGAGAACAGCTCCAGACCGGTAGCCCCAAACTCCGCTTGTGTTACAACACCCCAGGGGTACTTTTGTTGTGCTCCTGTTTACTGCCGTAACCTTAAAAATCTGCAATGTAATATGTCCGGGAATAAAACAAAGGGGGTTTTTGCTCTGAGGAGTAAATCTTCGCAGCGTCTTTCCTCCTATGAGGGGGTGCCGTGCTCCCCCCTCCAAAACAATTTTGTCTATTATTTCTTGCGCTCTCGACGGTGTGTGCACTTGTATGAAAGAACGTCTTCCCGCCATTTTTCAAAAAAAAAAAACACAACGTAGGTTCCTATTTGTTAGACGATCACAGCCAAGGCCAAATTTTGAATTTTTGAATTTTTCGCGGGCCTTTCAAACTTTTTCAAGGTCAATTTAAAGGCGGGAAGTTTGGGTTATTACAATATATAATATACATATTTAAAGTCTCTGGTTGATGATCTATTGCTTGGTGTTTTTTGAACAAAAATCTGAACTTTTCATGCGTTTATGTTGGTATAACAGAAGTAGTTATGTGACATATGTCAATCGTGACATACGATAAATTTAGGTTATGTTTTGGATACATTTTGCAAATTAAAAATGTCAATAATCTGCCAGTCTTGACAGCTGACAACCGGAAATTATAGAAAACATCATGACACCAATTTCAGCTGAAAATCCAGGATTGCCAGCAGACTCAGTCATGTTCACGGTTGTAGAATAGATAGGTTTGTACACTAATGGCTTGGGATGGCGACGCTTCTTTTCGATCCCTATATCCATGGAAAGGACACATACAGCTAGCGCCTCTACCTTGTCGAGCGGAAATCATTCTAGTTATTTTGGGGATTTTCGTTTACATTGCTTTATGAACAATGCAAAATTTGTAAATGACATTTGATCGGAGTCGATAAGTACGATTTCTTTTATTAATTACATCGGTTAAAGACAGATGCCTATAGAGTTCTGTGTCCCTAAAACGTCAAAAACCAGGCGACGCGATCGGCAATTGGCGTCGCTGACCAGGGATATGCAAATGTATGCTAGTGTATCAACCTATCTATTCTACAACCGTGGTCATGTTTAATCACGCGGTATTTTTTCATACTTTAGGGGCATAAGCGTCGAGAAACTATGAAATTAGCCGTTCGCCAGAAGGACCCTATTACTTTTACGCTCGGCAAGTAACAATGGATCGCAATTTCTGATAAAGGGAAATTCGTTGCATATACATTTTTTTATGTCAAATTTAATCTAAAAATATTGCGAACAAAAGCGTCATAACGTCAAACAACAATGATTGCATCTGATGAACGCATTTTCTAATGATATAAATGACCTTGTAACCTTTTTATTCTTTCGAACATTTTTCCTATTCTATTTGTTCCGTTCTACAAAAATCAAGGTTCTATATACCTATATTTTTGGACCAATTTCCGTTTTGTTCCGTTAGATTATAAAATTCAGTTAAATATACCATAAAATAAATTAGGGCCATGCCACAGTAGATGCCATGCTTATAGTCTTTGCCATTTCTATTGAAACACCACCTGTTGATTTTGCCTAAAATTTAGCAATTGCTAACAGTTTTCGGTTGATTGACAACGGCTTTTAGTTAGAAAATTGTATGAATATGAACCTTGTCAAATTTACGATCAACAAGTGATGTTTCAATAGAAATGGCAAAGACTATATGTATTTTGAAAAATAATACCTGGCGTTCCGTACGCCACTGTCCATGCTACACTTATCAACTACCGCTCACGATTTGACGATTCACCATATTCTCAAATTATTCCGATTATTCTACCTCTAACTATAAATCGTTTTCTTCATGAAGAGATAAAATTATTCGTCCTTCCACAGTTTCGCCAACGTTTCGTTACAATCTAGATGAAGCTGGTGAAGAGAAAGAACTAGTAGATCAATGTGTCTGCGACCCTATTAATTTGAGCTCATTTGAACTACTAATCCTAACCAGGGGGTGGAAACTTAATACAATGACCTTGAACATTGAAAGCTTGTGGAATAGGACAAGAGATGGCACCAGTGTCAGTACAAATCCAATGGGAGCGACAAAGATATGTATAGAATCATATTGTGCTCTTTATTCGGGCGAGTCCACTTTCAAATTTGAGATTTCTTTTCAACTGTTGCAGTCAGCTGTTTTATTTTTCCGATTTGTAAAATCAGTTTTTTTCAGAACTATAGTTCCTTCTGGAGAGTTTAAGGTAAACTAATCATTGGTAAATATAAAAATAATAATTGGTACGTTTTCAGTGTGCATCGTTGAGTCTTTTATTATTGTGTGATAATGTCCGGACAAAGAGTACGTACATGTTGCATCCCAAATTGCGAAGACACGACGTCTCGTAGACATCGCTTTCCAAGCAATAAGGATTGTTAGATATTTGGATTGCAAGAATAAACAACCCAAAACATGCTTCACTGACTTCTAGACAAACAGCAGTTAGCCAGTTTATATGCGAGTCACATTTTGCAGAAATCAATTGTGATAACCCAAACTTCCCGCCTTAAAATTTGACCTTGAAACAGTTTGAAAGGCCCGCGAAAAATTCAAAAATTCAAAAGTTTGGCCTTGGCTGTGATCGTCTAACAAATGAGAACCTACGTTGTGTGTTTTTTTTTTTTTTGTTTTTGAAAAATGGCGGGAAGAAGTTCTTTCATACAAGTGCATACACTGTCGAGAGCGCAAGAAATAATAGACAAAATTAGGAGCCTTCCTAAGGAGGAAAAAGAAACGAAGAACGACAGACGCTCGGTTTGCCCTTCTGGCGAGTCCGCAGGGCCAAGGTGTCATCGGTCTTCATTCCCCAAAACCCCCTGGGGTTTTATTCACCGACATATTACATGTCAAACACCCTAAGATATGTGAAAGAAAAACACTCGCGAATTGACAGACATACACATATGAAAACCGAACGAACACAAGACCTACACATATGTAAATTGGATGGCAGAACCCGAATCATTATGAGAGTGTGGCGATCGAACAAAATATAGAGCAAAATATAGCAATTTCATTTACGAGCACAGCAAAATACCCAGAGGGGGCGTTGTAGCGCAAGTGGAGGTTGGGACTCCTGATCGTCACTGTTCTCCCCCACGACGGTGATTCTATCTACACCAACGCCTGCTCACACGCATCTCTCCATTACGAACGTGCCCTGCGAAACGAGGCGGTTACGATCGCAGATCCGTAGTGGGGTCTCGACTATTGGGCCAAGTCGACAGCGTTAAAGACCCGCGATCGCCCCCTGAAGCTATACAAACCCGCGGATTTGTGCAGGTGCCGCGATTGATCCCGTCAGTTTGAGAAGGAGTCGCGCGCCCCACGTACACTACGAGTTATGTGTTATTTACTTCAATTTCATTTAAATGTTCAATCTCTATGACTCTAATATTAAATTACAACCGAACAAGTGTTAAAGTTTTAACGAAGAGCAATACACAACATTTAAATTCGCCACACACTCTTACGAAATTTCAACAACAAATAATTCTTAATTGAGATTAAATTTGGACATCAGATAATTTGCAGGACAAAGACATTCATCAACAAAATATTTACATGAGCAAAACTTAGCAAAGATTTATAAAATAAAGATCTGGTGTGAAATAAGCTTGTGCAAACAAAATATCATGTTAGGTCAAAACTGTAGAACATGGAAATTTACGCTCAATTAAAATTATACAGCAAAGAAAATTACTGAAGCTAAAATTGTGAGACAAAGACAAATTGCATGAGATGAAGATTGTAAAGTTAACAGATTTACATGTGATTAATATTAATTCGTGTCCAGTCAAGTTATTGGTTAAAATTCAAACGTGAAATTATTTAGCTGCATTGTGGGCCATTATTACACATACATTTCCCCAAACAAAACACATAAACAAACATGGCAGACAAACTGCAGTTGCAAAATGGCGTTGGACGAATTCGTCATTCCAAATAATAGGCGTCGAAAATATGCGATGCAAAAATACGATGAATCCTGTGGCGTTGTATAAACGATGGGCTAAATAAAAGGAATAGAAGGCACGTCCCCCCATGACCCACAATGTTGTTAATTCGTTCAATAGATTCAGTTAAAACATGTGCTCGATTAAAAGAAACAAATGGACGCTTCAAAATGGCCGCTGCCTGAACAAAGAACGGTGAAAATAACAATTCGTTTGCCGCCATCCAAAATACAGATTTCACAAATATAGCTAAATAAAGCATGGCCCGAACTAAAAATCACTTCCTGTAAAGCCCTACTGCGATGGATTTTAAATGAAAGATCAAAAAAAAAACGAGATTAGTGGAAAAAAGCGCACGCGTCGAAGTGTCACGAGGTCAGAAGCATCGTCGGGGCTTGAATCTCGCGGCGAAACAGGTGTTCAAAACATACCTCTCCAAAGATGCGAAGATTTCGACACGGCTTACCGCCAACAGGAACACAAAAACCTCGTCGTAAGAACGGTGAGAAATCAGGAACACCCAATGGCTCAACGGTGGCTGCTAGGTTTTCCAATGGAACAGATCAACACTGGAAAAACAAAACACAACAGCAAAAGGCACAGAATAATTCACAATTAAAAATACAACCTGTTGCTCGAAGCGCTCGAAAGAAAATCGACCGTTCTCTCCAAGCGGTCAAAGCGAAGTGGGTGATCTTACACGAGACAAAAACACCCTAACATTTGCGCATGTCTGTTTCTTTGGGGTTGGTTGCCAACCTTCTTTTCTTCTTCTCACCAACTGTTTCTTGCGCGCGCGAAATTCATTTGAAATTTAAAAATTCGAATTGGATCCTTACACAATATAAACAGACAATCAACAAAAAGAATTTTAAATGGATCTATTCCGACATTGAATATTCCAGGTTTGTTAATAGAAATTGTTTACAAAGTCTATATTATTTACAAATTGTAGGATTTCATGAGGATCCAACGAGTGAAAACTGTTTTTATTTTCCTGCAAAATCAACAGAAGTGACTAATGTTAATGTTTGCTTGTTTTGTGCAGCAGTTCCAAGCCCTATATCTGCAGAAACGGAAATGTTAGCTGTACCAGGAACATCAAAAGATATAAGCCCTGAAGTGAAATTATTAAGGACGACTCCCTCAAAAAAAAAAGTTTATGGGAAAACTGCAAGAAGGTAGTTAATAGCAACATCGGTATCTCATTTAGCAGGTAATTTTATGCTTCTGAAAATATTTATCGTAAAATTACGAGTAACCACTTTGAAATTACTTGTGTATTTAACTAAATACTTATATGTATATGATTGTTAAATGGGAGCCTATCTAAAATTTCTCAAAAGCTAGAAAAAATAGTTGTAATTAGACTTAATGAAAACATACCCTGTTTTTGTTTGTATTGCTCCAATTAAGTTTTTACAAATTTTGTATACATTATTTTTTTATATAATAATACTCGTGTGTAATAAATGTATGTATAATAAATGTTTGTTCCCCATTTTGTGTATTCATTTGAATTTCAATTGAAATTATTTTTGCTTATTGAAAGGAATCACATTTAATTCACCCGCCATTTTTTATTGTAGTAATTTACAGGAATCGAATGCATGATTTTTGGAAAGTACTGGTAATAGGTATTAAGATGGCGCTGTTGTCAACGAACAAATTTTCAGACAAGAGATGCCATTCTATATCTTTCCTTTTCTATGATCCAGTGTGACAGTCAACCCGCAAAGTGGCTAAAAAAAAGTCCAAACAAACCCCAAAAAGCAGGTGATAGGGCACCACATTCGCTTATTGTTTAGATAATTTTGCAGTTTTGATTTTCTGAATTTTTTTGCAAGACGAAAATGGTTGTCAGTAATATGACTTTGGTTAAAATAGGAGCTATAGGAGGAGTAATTACCGTTTCGATGGGAATGGCTTTAAGACGCAAAGTGAATGAAAACATCAGACAAACAGAATATTACAAAGAAGCACTGAAAACTGTTAGATCTAACCAGAGTGCTGTGTACTTATTAGGTGAACCAATGAAGGAAGGACGGATTCAAATTGATGATGCAGAAAAGAATTTTACAAAAGTTGATACAGCACACTATGAAGTTCCAATCAAAGGGCCCAAACAGAAGGGTGTGATATATTTTTGGGCAAATAAACTCGACAGTGGATGGACTGTAAATAGGATAGAACTGGGTCTAGACAATGAACCGAATAGAAGGTTACTCATCAAGAACACTGACAATGCAGAGCAAAATATAAATGAGTAGATATTTATTTATAAGGGGTGCATACACAATAAATAAACTATAAAATTACCAAAAATTGGGCGTTAAAATGCCGTGAGGCTTTTCAAAATAACCTTTCACTTTGTAGTTTTGCAAAAGAACTTCCAGTCTTGTCACTGGGCCTCCTGTATCAATTTTCTTCAGGAGAGGCATAAACTTATTTATAATAATTCTAACTACTTTTTTAAAAGCAAGCCCATAAACTCTCTCCATTTCAAACCCCACTGTCTCTAGAAATATGTGAAGTGAAGTGGCTGTGATATCTAATTGAGGATCCAGCTTCAAAATTGAAGCCAAAAAATTCCATGCATTTTTAATATCATGAGGATTTTTTGCTTGATCTCGTTTGGGATGTGCAATCATAATAGCAAAATACAACCTCAAAATACCTGTCATTCTCTTTAAGAATTTGTCTTGTTTTTCAATTTGACCATCTACGTAATGGTATCCTAAGCTGATATAATACTCTTCATTAGTATGATCTTCTGTTTTTGGGATATAAAACGGCACCAGGTATGGACACTGTGTGTAGAAATAACCAAGCAGTAACTTGCCAAAATCAGGAAAATCATTCCATAGTGATATTATTATTGTAGCATAACAGAATGCTGCTTCAGGGTTGCTGGATATCATCAAATCACCTTGTAATACAAATTTTTTTGCTAACAAGTCCATACAAAAAGGAATACCTAAAACAATAGTTATATAATAATTATATTTTTGGAAACAATATTACCTTGTGGTTGTTTTGCAGCATTTATGTGTTTATCAGCTATTGCTACTGTCTTTCCTGATAATAAGTTGTTTAACTTGGTGTACTTATCTCTTAAATGTTCAGAACTGACGGCGGAAATGGCATTTACAGGAATATTTACAGCTTTTTTACAGTCAAATCGGTACTGCTTTTGTTGCTCGTCATTTAACAGCTCTTTAAATAATGATGAATATTGTGATAAGAACTGTTTAATATCTGCATACTTTTTAAGATTGTTGATGCTCACACATTGATTCAATCCGACTAGAGTATTTTTAGTTTCATCTAAATGCTTTTGTGCACTGGTATTTTTGGGGACTTCTACAGTGACCGGTACTTGAACTTGTACTTGCTCTTCTTTCTTCTTAGCGTTTATTTTGGAAATAGTTTCTTCTATTTGCAGTTTCAAATTTTTACTCTTAATTAGTATATTTGCAGCCTTTGACAATTGTTCTTCATCTACACTGTAAGACTTACACCTAGAGATCACTTCATCAAAACTCTCTGGAAGAGATTTCAACAACTTGAAGTGTTCTCCTAACATTTTCTTTAATTCTTCAGTTGACGTGCATGTTTTGATAACAACAATAATTTCTTGATATACTGACTTGAACTCAAGTTGGTATTTCTTGATTTTTTCAATATTCTCATTCAAAATTCTCTGTTTCTCTTTATTCTTTTCTAACTGTTGTTCATATTGCAGCTTACGTTGAATCATATCTTGATATTGTTTAATTAATTTTTCATTTTGTTTTGACCTGTTAACGTCCTGTTGACTGATGGTCTGTAAAATTGTTTGTTCGTTTTCTTGCACGCTTTGGACGAAAGCTTGTTGCTTCAGAAGCCATTGTGTTTCTTTTTCTTCCTTTTGGCGTTTCGTGAAATTTTCAAATTTACTAAACCGGTCATCAATAGCTTCTTGCACCTTCTCCCGTCTTTGAGTTTCAAACTCTTTCAAAACATATGTTAATGGAAGCGGACTTGTACTTGTCGTTTGTTCTTTTTTGAATGAAACTTTCTTTGTGTTGCTTTTAGGTTTTGTCCCATCGTAACTACAATTCTGATGACCAACACTATTGGGTCCAATGGTAACATTGTTAATGTCACCCGTCAACTTAGTGTACTTGCTGAATGCGGACACTTTTAAATTTTCAAAATCCGGCAGTACTTTATCCATTTAAAACAACAATTTCAACGTTATAACAAATAATATTCAAAAGTAGTTATCGTTAATTTTTTTTAGGTTAAGTTTTGACAACAAAAAAGAAGTGACAATCAGCGATACCAATTTACACTAAATAGATCAAAAGTATCCAACTATTTGACGTTTACCGGTTTGGCCAAATTGTGACAGTACATTACATGTCATTAAAATTATTTTGTTCCGTTAACAAATAAATCTAACTTCTTGTTTTAATAATTTCATTGTGAAAAAATTTCCACCAGCCATTTGCAGTCTGTCACTATTTGGATAAATAGTGTGTTAGTGGGGGCTACAGCTTTTACTTTAATTTACCAAGTGTACTTGACTGCAAAAGCAACTTCCAAAAATGGTACTCGTCATAACGCAACAAACTTTTGATGAGGCTGTTCAAGAAAATATCAATGATTTAGGATTATCCCCAGAAGACGCGGTTATAGAAGCTGTTACCCAATTTAAAGCCCAAGTGAGTAACTTTTTTTTTGTTTCTTTAATTAAATGCCAATTTTATAACAGGGAGTTGACTTGAGTAATGTTGTCACTGAACTGGGAGCCTCCGCTGATTTTGAGAATTTAAATAGTATTATAGAAAAGCTCAAAAAGTGTCAAGAAAACTATGTAGCTCAAGACTGTTCAGATCTGTTAGTTGCCTTAAAACAAGAATGCGATAAAGGAATACAATATAGAGTCCATGCTGGTTTGTATAAAAAACATAATTTGATATTACAATGACAAGTACATTTTAAGGAAGAGCTGGTGTATATGGAGTGATATTAGATATTTTCCTCAAGTCTGAAGCAAGTAAAGATGTTAAGGTGACTGCTTTAAAAGCAATGGTGGCGCTAATGACAAAACAGCCAGATTTGTTTGAAGAGAAAGGGGCGCAAGTTATAATGGGGAATCTTGAAGAGACAGTTGATCCTGACATTCAAAAGTTCATTTTAAAATGGTGCAAAGAATGTTGTGTAATGCATGAGATGAACAGGTAAATAAAATAGATGACTATAGTTACTTACCAAAATTTTGATTTACAGACAAAATCTCATCAATTTAAATATTGTGGAAAAATTATCAGCTCTTTTACAAAACGGACATCCTAGTGTTTTAAAGGACACTTTATTGGTGTCGAGAGCTTTGATTTTGGACGATGACATTCGCGTTGAATTTGGGCGTGCACATGAACACGCTCGTATCATTGCTTCAGAAACATTGGACTATATTATTAAACTGATTAAAAGTAAGCATATTATTGCATGGTAATTAATACATCTAACATTGTTATAAGAATTGAAGGATGATGAGGGACTTGTTAATGATTTAATTCTCACACTTTCCTCTTTGTTGGTGAGAGCCGAATTTTGCACAAAAATTGATAATTCTGGAGGAATAGAACTGATTCAAGATGTGATGACCCATTTTGTTAATAATGAAGTAAGTTTGTTTTTTGGTTAAAATTAAAACACAATTTTTAAATTTTAGAAAATCATTAGACAGTGCTTCAAGGTAATTAAGGCTTTAGCAGGTAATGATGAATGTAAGGTTCATATTATTCAGAAAGGTCTGGCACCTGTTATATCAAACTCCTTAAATGCACATCAGGTTTGTGTTACTTGACCTTGGAACCATGAAGTAATAAAAACTTTCAGAGTGCTGTTCAAACTGCCGCTGCTGGTCTTAATAGTGTTGCAGCTCTTAGTTTGAGGTGTCCTGATAATAGCAAAGCACTATTTGAAGCGTCATTACCAGAAGTGATAATTGAAATCATGAAGAAACATCCTAATGAAAAATCAGTTCAGGTATATATTGTTTCAAGATTTCAGAATTAGGCATTTTTTTTTTTTTTCAGAGAACGGCGAGTTGGGCTATCAGGAATATGGTATCTCGTAGTCGTTATCAAAACGAACATTTCCTAGAGCTGGGAGTGGAAGAATTACTCCTGAAAAATTTGCGCAAGTTTAAAGAGTTTGAATACGACGTAAAGGCAGCCCTAAGAGATTTGGAATGTGACGTAGAATTAAAGGAGGAATGGACCGGCAAAGGCGGCAAAATTTCGTCTGAAACTACTATTAAGAAAGACTAACTGCATTTACTACCTGCGATTTTATACTTTTTTAATTAATTGTTAATTAATTATGCAACTAATTTATTGCTTAAGCTTTGTATTACTGAAAAATACACTTTTTACTACTGTTTGATAGCACTGTATGTATTCATGGCCTCCTAATTTTTTAAACATTTGTAATATGCAGCCTACAAATGTCACACACATTTTCTTTTATTTTTATTTACATTTCAAAACCATTTTTAGATCATTTCTACAAAATTTTAAGTTAACGTTATGAAAATTTATAATAAAACATGGTTCGACAACATTTAGGTTTGTACATTGTAATTTATGTAGAATAATCGAAATAAATGAGTTATCCATTTTAGGACCTGGACCAGGAAAATATTTGCTACCACCTCTCGTTGGATACAAAGAGCACGATGGAACTAAATACCGCAATCCACAATACTCCATGGGGCTTAAACTGCCCCTTCAGGACAGACATTTGGGTCCAGGTCCCAAATATCACACTGAACATATGACTATGTATGGAAAGGCTCATCCACCTGCATACTCCCTCGCTTCTCGACCCCGTGACTTGAGTAATAATAGATAATGCTCATTAGTTGTTCCAAAATATATTCAATTTTTTTAATTTCAGCCATATTTCAGGGACCAGGACCCGCAGCTTACAATTTACAAAATTCGCCTAGAATGAAAGAAGCGCGACCCCCTGCATACTCCATGTCATACAGACATAAAATTTTAAAAGGTTCTGAAACCCCTGGACCTAACATTTATGATATACCAACCACCCTTGGACCTAAAGTACCTGATTTACATGCCAATGGTGCTTTTAGCATGTTAGTGCTGTCATACACACACACGCATACAATGTTTTAATACAATGAAAATTTCAGGTCTGATCGATATCCAGTCATGGCAAAAGAAAGATCACCTGGACCAGCACAATATGATCCAACTAGTCCTAACAACTATAAGAACAAAATGCCCGCTTATTCAATGTCGATTAAACATAAAGATCTTAGCGGAAGAGGAACTTATCCTTCACCTAGTGATTACTATCCAAAAATACAAAAATGTGCAGCTGGATTCTCATTTGGATTGAGAACTGATAATCAACCTTACATTACTGCTGATGATGAGATGCCTTGTATTAATAAGTAAATTGTCTAACTCAAATAATGTGTTTTTTATTCTTTGATAATTGCGTTATTAGGTATAGTTTCATTTAATTGTTGAGGATTATTTCTATAGTCAATTAAAGCAAGCACCAATTTTTGAATGAAGGGGTGTTTGAATTTGCCTTCTGTTGCGTCAAAAAATTCTTGCATTTTGTTTGGTGTCTTGTCACGTTTTTCATAATGTGTGGCAGTGAACAACATATCTAGACGATCTAAAACGGCAATTATTACACACTCTGGGGGTTATAAGTGAGGGAACAAACCTAAGTCTTTTACAAAAATTGCTTCTGCTGTTTGCTTTGCTTCATACTCTTTGTAAAGATTGTATATCATAGGACCTATATCTTCACCTAAATGCGAGGCAATTTCTTTCATTGCTTTATCTTCTAAGGCATGTTTCTTGTCTTCGGGAATGTTATCATGTGGAGTAATATCTCCAACAATACTTTCTGCTAAGTCATGGACTAAAGCTAGTTGGAGACACTTAAACCTGTCTAAATTAGAATTATCTCCTAGTAGGAACGTCATCATCCCCATGGCATACATGTGACCAGCAATATGTTCATGGTCTTTTACGTCGATGAGTGACCAACCTCGTCGAGAACTATGCTTCAAATTATTGACTAGATTCATAAATTTCAAAACGTTCTCTGGATTGAGTGTCTCCATTTAGATCTTCTAATACTGTTCAATTGAATAATGGAGGTTATATGTGGGAGATTCTTTTATGGTGAATTTTGGTGACTTAACCTAAAAAAGTGATGACTTCAAACAAGTTACTTGTTTCTAAGCAGTGAAATGTTTTTGATTTGTGCTAATGACTTACCTTTCTTTGAAAATGCACTTCAAAGGAACAACTGGGAAAAGTATGCTGAAAATAGGCTATATATTTTGGTTGCAAAATAAGCATAAGACCACGGTCGCATGCACAGTCGCATAAGACGATCAGGCGATGAGGTCGGTTTATTCTACATTACCAGATTACCAGTACATTTATAATTTATAAAATATAGAATAATTATGAGAGATAGTTATTTTGTCGTTAAACACAGCTTATATTGGCACTCTTGTCTAAATACAGGAGAAAAGCCAACAATACGAAATCGTAACCAATATCATTGATTAAACACGTATGTAAATATGTATTTAATCAATGCCAATGGCTACAAGAACCAAAACATCATTCTTTCTGCAATTTGCAAACATATCGTAGAAGCACTATTTTTGTGACCACAAGTATACACTCATTTTTTTGGACATTTTAAATACATGGGACTTCTCCACCAAAATTTTCTTGAGGTGACATCATCAAATTTTTGGCGGGGATCAAACAAATCAATTCTGAATTGCATTACATTACGGTTTTCTTTTCTTAGGAGTATCAATCAAACACAACACTTCGAACAAGTGAAACTATTAAAATATATTTTTAATCCCATTTAACATACAAAGCATAATACAGCACGTTTTGAATTTAAAATTTAAAATATATACATCAGAAATTATAAAAACCATTAACTCAACACAAAAATGAAGACGTAGATATCAGGTATAGATACAAATACATGTGTTTACATACGTAAACGGAAATAATACATTAAGTAGAAGATCAGATTAGTAAGTATTAATAATGAACGAAATCTCCACGACGAAAATAATAATCAAAAACAAATAATATAACAAAGTTTGGCTTAAACTCTCCCTCAATCAGCCTTAATGATAGCTTAATCTCTGCTCGATGCATGACTTATTTTTTTAACGTTGTATTTTTGATCAACATTATAGGAATATAAAATACTCACGTTCAACAGTTTGCCTACTCTACGTTAAAAAAGAAAAGTAAAGCTATAATATGTCTACAGTAAATAGTTTAAAACATGTATAATATATTTACAAAGTACATTACAGATAAAAATAACGACTTCAAGATTCACTCTATAAAATATTTATATAATATTAGTAATGATTGAAATAGATTTTTAAAGAGGCTTATAGAACCTTAAGTAAATAATGGACAGAATAATAGTAATAGAATATAGACTCCTCCGCGTTTTTAATCTACACCCGCAAAGCCTTGTGATCCTTCTATTGCTTTAATTAATTTGTCCTTCAGGTGCTGGTAACTTTCGTAAGGAGGTAGATCTAAGCGATTAAAACTACAAACAAATGTATGGTAAAAAGTTTATAATAATTTAAAGTACTTACCATGTATGAGCTCTTGGAAAATTTTCAGGCGTTCCCCATTTTTCAATTGTAAATAACTGAGGACCATTGCTACCATAAAGTTCTTTAAAGCCATTCATTGGCACTCTTGACGTACCAGTAACGAACTGTAAAAGTCGAGCCCTCATCTCATTGTTAAACGACAAAACAACCTAAAACACGGCATTTAAACATTTTTTTTACTGTACAAATAGTGCACTTTACCCTCCAAAACCACTGAATGACTATATGATTTCCATGATAATCCCCTTTGTACAACGTGTTCTGCTTCCAATCTTTCACGTCGATATGTTGTATACCGCACATTAAAAGTTCTAACTCGTGTTCATCAAATATTTTGACAATACTCAACGGAATTAAATCGTTAAAACCAGACAAAAACGCGTTCATTTGCTGTTGCACCCGTCCGACGAACCGCCACTGAATTATACACCTGAAATCCACAGAAAAGTCACAAACATGATCATCTATTATCAAATATTAAACGTTACTTTATATATTCGTCTTTATTAGAGTTGTCTAGTGGAATGTTGGCACCTCCTGGCTTGAGTTCATGGACAGTTGTATGCCCCAAAGATTCTTCATCTACAGAAAATGTTAAATCAAGTCCTGATGGATCATTTTCTTTAATCCACAACAGTGACTTGTAATATTCCGAATCAACAGATTCCATGTCTTTAAGATCAATGGATTTGCCTAACATCATTTTGTAAAACGGTCTAATGAAAAATGCTGCAACGCAATTGTGTGAGTGTGGTCAAAAATGAAAATGTCAATTTACCATCTAGCAGTTTTCCATGATATACAGCCATCCCAGCGACCCGACCAATGAACTTGAAATAATTTAGATGTTCTTCATTACATAAGCCAGAGTATGGATTAATTTGTAATGTGTAATTATCCCTAAAATACATTTATGTAAAAAATGGGAAATTTTTACGGTGCTATGATTACATGGCTGAATATTCAAATAGTCCATAGTAAGGGTTAAACATTTCTTTCGATAATAGATAAAACCATTCTCTGGCCAAACCTCCATAATCCAGTCCAACTTCGCCTTCAAATTCGATCCATAACTTAGTTTTCAACAGTTCTACTCTAGGGACGGAAGTTATCACCCGGAATGAATCCTCCAGAATACTTCTTCTTTTTACTTTGATTTCAAATTTGTTGGGTACGTTGTTCTTTAAAGAAAATACCGTTATCAGAAATTGAAGGATTGTAGATTATGTGGAAAATTTTATATGCAATTTTAAAGATGATATACGGCAAGTTACACCAGTTTACAACCAACATTTTGGTGCGGAATTATGTTACCGCTAAGTTCATTTTTTAAAACAGAACTGATAACTCCACAGACTTGCTAATGTATGCCGCCATCACAGTTTGTAATAGTTTTTTGAGGAAATTGTAATAGTTTTTTGAGGAAATTGTAATTATGTAATGTAAAAATGAATATTGCCAAATGTTCATTGTTTTGGAATTTGATGTTAAAAAAATTATGTTGGCAACACCAACGCATTTCTTGTTCGGTTTGACGGTTAGGATTAAATAACTGTCAAATAGCTGTAATGCCAACATCATTACTTTAAAAACAAATTTTATGGCCTACTAGACGAGTTTTTCTTTCAATCATGAGTCGAACATTACAATATTGTTGGCAGTGTTGTAAGGTGATTAAATTACTTGAAAATCACCAACAATTTTACGTCAAATGAGCGTAATTTACCAGAAGCTGGATATTTATTCCGATATTTAATTGGACATTTTCCGGCTATCTATTCACTAACACTAATTTTGGGTAATTTTGAAGTGGCGCCTTCTAACCCAAAATTTCAGTAACATCACCAAAATTACCAGTTTTACTTACCAGACTTTTAAATCACGGTAATTTTGCAACATATATGCCATAAAAGGGCGAATACAACGTCGAAACGTCGTTTTCGTAGATTAAACATCATGTAAAAAATGACGGGGATTTCTCTATATACACTGACCGGCAAAAAAACTGCCCACCCGGAAATATTTCGCAGTCACTTTAAAAATTAAATTTTAACTTTTTATTTGTCTTTTCTTTTTAGCTAATTTGTACATCCTGTGTCTGCAGTGAATGGTTATCTAAATAAAATAATAGTCACTAGATAAATTAATAATTTTTAAAGGGATTTTGTGAAACATTTACGGGTGGTCGGTTTTTTTTGTCGGTCAGTATATTTCGGCCACCGCTGTCAAAATAAATACAGAGTGACTATTAATGTTTGCGATTTTTTTGTCAAGTTTGCAACATATTTAAAATTTTATGGCGACATATCACATTGTTGAAGTAACATTTATGACAGCTGCCATCGTCTCAACCAATCACAACGTTTGTTAAACGTGCTCATGTCAAAATTGACAACTGTGAACTGAGGTTTGAGGTACCAGCACGGATGCCAATAGTTCAGAATTGTTAACACAAAAATGTGCTTCACCCTGTATTTCATTTGAGTCATTTATAGGGAATTTTGTTATTTCTCTTTACAACACAAGCTATGGTAAATTTTCAATAAAGAATGATCTCTGGATTATGTAAATTTTTTGTTTGTCATGAACAATAACACTTTGTCTACTGAAAACAGTGCAGTATTTTTTACAATTATTTATATATTAAATTTTACTGACAAACGTACGTCTCAGTGAGACATAGAGACAAGTACTGGTGAAATCAAAGTGTACAGAAAGGTAGGTCCAATTCGTTACCCACCCCTTTTTTTGTAACAAAACTCGAAAATGTCATTTCAATGTTGTACCTTCTACCACCATAGAAAATAAGTCATAAGTTTGTATTATTATTTTTCGAAATCATTTTACCAAAACTAAAATTAAATCGATAGTGTAAAACACAAAAGAAAGCTTTACAAAGTTCTTTGTTTTGTTGTCTTCGATTTCCTGGAGTAAAAAACAAGACAATGTGAATTTTCTACAGCCGTATCATCACCTCCTTATCTTACTGAGCGAGATATGATCAACCTAAATTTTATGATAACAAAATAAAGATAATTAGGTCACATTTACGCATTGTTTATGTTAAAATTTGAAAAATAATAAATTAATACTTCGTTGTTAATTTTGGCAAGCCATAAAATTAACAGATGAAAGATAACTAACCATTTCTGTCTATATTTTACCTCAAAAATCTAATTAATTAATCAATACCAAAGTCAAAAATACGCCAAATTTATGTTATACTTGCAGTACATTAACAATCGTCTAAAATCAAAAACTATTCAGTTATAAGATCACAAAAGCCTCAAGATTCGGTTCCATCAATCATTTTTGAATATCTTCGGCGATCATTTTGTAAATCACTTTATGAATAATAATTCCACCAGTGATTACATAAATCATTCCAGTTTAAATAAAAATGTTCTAAATATTAGATTTATTTATGAAAATGATGTGCATAAAACCAACATGACCAGTGGTCCTGATCAAATATCTACGCTGTCCTAAATGGTTCTAAATCTACACTATTTCGACACGACTGGAGTGCGCCGCTTTTTCCTTATTATTATTTGCTGACAATTTTAATTGTACAATTGATTTCATTAATGACTGCATACGTTTATAACATAATCGAGATAGCATTCTAAAGTGGTGCACATACAATAATCTTCTGCTAAACAGATCCAAATGTGATGACACGAAAAAAATAATACCTGTTAGATTGTGGATGGTATCTAGATCTAGGTGTTATTTTCGAGTCAAAACTCTCGTGTATTACAATACACGAGACTGATGATGACAAAATGTTAAAATGTTTCTATGTTGCTTCCCAGCTGGAATATTCTTCGAACGTTTGGTCTCCTTTTTTTATAACCCCTACATGATAAAATAAAAACAGGGGTACATTTATTACAGGCACAAGGGATATACGTTTCATCGACATAAATTTTTTAACTTAATGAGTATGTCATTGATTTGTACGTTGTTATAAATGCATTAAAAAAATATAGCCCTGGAAAGTTAAAAATTTCTAAAAGGGGAAAAACCAAACACCTTGAAGTACCATTTAAAATTAAGAACAATTGAAGGGTTGTTTTGACTTACACTGAAGAGTCAGATTTTCTCAGTCCAGCTATTTTTTTTTAATTTAGTAAAAACTTACCGGTTTTCTGAGTTGCGTTTTCATATATTCATACTTTCGTTTATAGTCCCTCGAATATGGTATCGCTGGTCCCGCGATTTGCGGATTTGAGAGTCGAGGATCCTCCCACTGTGTTGTTCTCGTATCTGTTACGTAAAAAAACATGAACCTCAAACATTCAAAATTTTCGACGTCTTACTGTGGTCGATAAAGAATATCCTTCCATCGGAATGGACTCTTTCCTCCCACCCTTCAGGCAACGGACCTAAGTCGTCATCAGGCTTTCTATTCACCAAAGGCACGGCAGCTTGATTCGGCATGGGACTGGCACGGCCAGTTCTGGGATCTACCCATGATGTCGTTCTTTCATTGTGATCAATGAAGAACAGTCGGCCATTGGGAGCCACTTGCACTGTCCATCCCGGAGGTAAACCTTCAGATAATAACTCTAAATTGTTAGGAGTGTTGCTATTGCTGGTTGTTGATACTGTAGAATCACGACGCGATGAGCTGTTTGAGAGGCTATCTGTTTGGTCGTCGCTCTGGAAAAGTGAAATTAAAATAACAAAAAATAATTACTGTACAAGAGATTCACGAATCACTATTTCACAGTAATGAAAGGACGCCATCGTAATCTACGAATACGAATTCAGTTAGCGCTTACATGATCCATAAAGTATTCATTCGAAATTTACCTTCAAACTTCAGCTATTGACTCTATTTTTGCGTGTTACTCAACTTATTCACAAACTTAGCTTATATCAAATGTTTTAAAGTTTTAAGTTATTTATTGATTCAGTTTTTAAATATGTAATTATAAAATAGTTAATTTCGCGATTTTGAAGATTATCTGCTTAATGAAATAACACTACTAATAAGACCACTTCAGAACACAACACTTTATTAAGGATTTTACCCTGTTTTTAAGGTATATTTAAAAAAGCAAATATTTCAAAAATTTTACTGTTATTACGATAGGTATATTACAATGTTTCAATGTTAATGCATTTTGACCTATTTTTAAGTTTTTTACAAAGAAGGCCCCTTCAGAACAACACGTTTTTATCAAATCTACCCGTTTTTCAAGGTACTTTTATTAAAAGTTAAATTTCGCCTTTTTGCCCTCTTTTTAAGGTGTATTTTAAAATTAACATTTTTCAAAGATTTTGGTCTAATTTTAAACGCATTGTTACGAAATAAACCCATACGCCGCCTCGGTACGACGCCTATGGGTCTTCTAGTATGCATGTGTTTATTCTAGCATGTAGTATGAGTCATCGGCCGGACAGCGCGATGATTTCTCGAACCCTCGAGAGGAACGAATAGGTTGAAATAGAGGCCACCCCACACCGTCGGGAACGAGGGATTATTAAGACAATTCAGTCCACGACAGTACAATGAAGTTGCGCCGGAATATTTTGTACATAAACCGCTGTGTAATAATTAGACGTGTAAATTTGAGTTATCAAGAAATAAATTGTTGACTTTTACCCACGCCGATTTTAAATACCCGTACAACGTAACAGTATATTTAAATTTTGACCCTCTCATGGATAACAACTCTCTAATAATAATAATAATAATATTACAATTATTTGCCTTTAAATCTACAGTAAGATATACATATTGATAAAAATAATATACCTACAGTTGATAAAACAATGTTTTGAAAATTATCTTGCAAACCTTGTTAATTTCTCTGATATTTTTTGTACTTCACAAGGTGATTTTGATTAAAAACAATTTTAACTATTTTTAACAATTCGAACTAAAAAAATTGTAATAATGTCTAATTATTTTATCGATTTAAGGGTTAGTTTGATCTGTGGGTTAGTTTTTCAGTCGATAATTTTATCATTTTTTTATTTTGGTTAGTTGCAGTAGAAACCTACGCATTGTTGCAACAATAGTATCTATGACAGTTAATGATAATTATAAATTAATCAGCGACTGAAAAACCGGTACACAATAAATAGACATTAATTAGTTTACATAGAATAAGGTAACTCAAAATCCAACTTTTTTTTCAGATGTTGTATTTCACTCGATAACTGGGCGGTAATAATATTATTTTCTTGCCACCATTGTTAACACTAAAATTAGCTAGCAAAAACCTCAAAATGTTTTTAAATGCTTGAGCTTCCTTTGCATTCGCAGTATCACAATTCTTGACATATTTCACTTATGTGTATATTATCAAGTATGACATCTAATAAAATTTCATAAAATCTCTTAACATCTGTAACATATTCTGTTGCTCCCATATTTTGTCTCTGACTAAATTTACCCCATAAAGAATTTAAGCATATTTTTGCTACAGCTCTCTCTCCAGGATTATTTTCTATTTTACCCAATTCAATAGCTAGATTTTCTTTTACAGCTTTTCTACATTCTTCTTCTGATTCAAAATCATTTCTCCATTCACTTGTCTCTAACTTTATTTTTATAAATGTTTTTATATATCCTTTAATTATTAATTTTGCACCAGGATAATCATCATAACATTGTACTGCTGGATATAAACTGGAAATATCTATATATTTCATTTTCTTTCCCTTAACTTTCAATTTTGTTGCATTAGTTCTTCCACCAAAAACGGCGTTTCTTGGGTTTAATTCTTCTAATTCCCGAATATCTTTTTCAATTTGCTTCATTTCGTTTTTATATTCTTTTGACTTTATCCACGCATATTCCCACATTTCTATTAAATTGTATGCAACTTGTCTTATTTGCTCACTTCTTTCTATTGTTTGTTCATAAAGATCTTCCATGGTTGTTTTATTTTTATTATTAATAAAATCTTGATTATAACATTTTTTACATCCATGCCAAAAATAACCGTGATATTGATAGGCTTTTTCATCAAATCCGTCAACTTTTGCTCCACATATTTTCACTTCACCATCGTTTAACGCGTGTTTTATATTTGGATTATGAAAACTATTCAACTAAGAAATTGATTGTTGAGAATATTGATCTTTTTTTAGATTATCAACAACTGCAACTGTATCATTTTTAATATATTTTGATCTATATATATACTATATTTTTACAACCTTTTACATTGTATTTTTTATCACTGTCTTTCATTGTTGTTTCACATATTCCACCTTTTTGAGGTTTTCATTGCATATAACATTTATGTTTAAGTATTTCAACCTCCTTATGACAATTTCTGCATTTTTTCCACCCACATCTGTGTTCTTTACCCCTCTCTTCTACGATTTTGTTACCTTTTTTAATCATTTTATCTCCTTTAACTTTTTGTTTTCCTTCTTCAGCACTGTTATGCAACAATCTTTAAATATGGAATCCATAAATTTTATACATCCTGATGGTGTGCAAGTAACACCAAAAAACTGTAATGAATTGTTAGTCTTTTTATGTAATTCTTCAATCATTGTCCTTTTTAAAATATACCTTAAAAACAGGGTACAATCCTTAAAAAAGTGTTGCGTTCTGAAGGGGCCTTAATAGTAGTAATAAAGGAGTGAATCCCTCGGACATTTCAATAACAACTTTAAACTTTATTTGTCACGTTGCAACATTATGAAGCCATCAACAGTTTTTTAGATGAAAAGAACAATGCAAAAATTGTGCAGATTATATATAAAGTGACACTACTATGTCTAGTTTTATATGCGTTTCTGATGCATGCATTAAAAAATAGTAATAGTAAAAAGAAAGTGGTGGCGTCATAATTTTAGGTGCTGCATCAAAATTTGTATGACCATCCCTAACAAAAATTTGATGATATCTTCTCAAAATCTAATGTGATATATGATTATAAATACAAGTTTTTGGGAAAAAATCAAAATTGTACTATTACTTAGTAACTGTACAACCGATTGTGTACCTAGAAAATTGCCAATCACAATGTGTCACCGCAAAATTTGATGAAATAAATCTTAGTTGAAATTGATAGCGTCACTATGTTCTCTAGGGTATTTTTTTTTTTTAATAAATGATATCATACAGATTATAACTGTCTGCAAAAAATTCATTACCGAGACAAAACCACTTACAACTATTCAGCGTCCTTCCATTATGTGTACATAACAACATAACTACTAAATTTGTATGAGGCTTAAACACAATAAATATATGCGTCCTGTATCCAAAATATAAAATACAACTACAAATATGAACACTTAAAACCACAACAACAAAATCAAGCAACAAACCACTACAAAAGCGATGAAAATGATACCTATGTACAATTAATTCCAGTGTGCATTAAAACATCATGAAGACACCAACTGTAAGCGACACATACATGCAGACACGCGTACCAACCTCCGAATCCGTGTCGGCAATTTCTGTATCATCATCTGGTCGGCGTTCAACACGCGACCCAAAAATAGATCTTCCTCTTAGTTCGAATTGTGGATAATCAAACGAACTTCTTCTACTGCTTTCATTGCTTTCCGCCGAAGCGTTGTACTCTGAATCGTTATTGTTCTCGGCTGATCTGATACTGAGTCGATTGTTGAGCTCAGTAGCGATACTTTCATCTACCTCGTTTGAAACCCTTATTTCAGGCAGGTTATTTAATTCCGAACCTACGTCCGAACCAGCAGCAGCACCGTCACTATTCGGACTAACGGCCTGACCAGCATGCAAACAGAATGCTCATGCAACGCTAGCTATTGTTAATCGTGTTAGTGGGTGACATGTACAAGACGATGATGAAAGCACGTCACAATACCTGCTTTTGCAACTTCAGTTTAAGCTCAATGAAAATTTGTGGCGCGAATTTTATTTGAATATTTTCAATTTTTACGTTCGGAGCGACATCTTATTATTACTTATTAACAGAGAGACCACTCGAGCTTATGAATACACTACCAAAAACGAAAAATACTTGTAAACGTTTTTTTAAGTCTTGAAATACCGAAATCCAAGGGTATTACAGAGATTAAAGATTATTATTTAAAGATTTAACCCTCTTATTTTTAATTTGACATCGCTGAAATTTAGAAAATTATTTTGGGCAAAATTTTCGGTTGACTAGATTTAATTTCCCTTGTGAATATTACAATATGTTTTTGTCCCTTCAACAATTAAGAATATAGACATAATTGACATAATTAACTTAATAATATCTTCGTTCAAAATTTTAAATCTACCTGAACTCAGATGATCTTAATCAGTTGTTTTCTTCATTATTTCAACCTAATTCAACAAAATTTGCACAAATATAAACGTACACTTTTTAATGTATGTAATTTTATCTCTAAGAAATATGACTTTTACATTATCAATTATGCAAATACTCAATCTTCTATTTAGTACAGTCGATAAAGTCAAACAAACATTTAATTTTACTCGCTCAAAAAACCCAAAGCGTAATACTGACTTTTAACTGCTTTAACCACACAAAATTAAATTTTTTACTTGAAATTAATTATTTTCTTTACCAAAGGAACAGTAAATTTAGGGGATTTTTTTATCAAATACTAAAGCAAAAAAAAAACTTTAAAACAGATACTAACTAAAAACTGCATAAAAGTAACAGCTCATAGAGTACGAAAATACAGTTTTCACAGTTTCGTCGACTGGTCTCTTTGTGCTTGCTGGAAACAGTATGAATATATAAATCTTTCAAACTCCTGTACCGACCACATCCTCTTCAAAAACCTATGACGTCAAACAATTTTGTTAATATCGCTTGAAATATACAATGTTATCTGTTTATCAGTAGTTCAATAATTATTATAGAGGCTTAGTGACCATACATTGACTGTCACTAATGCATTTGTATATTATAAAACAAAGATAATGAATGCAACATCAGGTAATTAAGAATCTCATTTACTGACAAATAATAAAAATCGTAATTAAGTGAACTAAATTATTAGGCCATAAATAAGTGGAATCAACTTATAGCAATTTAATAAAATATTACAGATACAAAAATAATTGTATCCCGTAATCCCTCAATAAATGTTATTCTTGTATCACAACTTCAAACAAGTCGATTTAATCTCTCTCTGCGATAAATTGTAAAATTGTTTATTAACATCTTTTTAAGACGTAATTCGTTTATTTAAACTGACAAAGGCAAATTATTGAAATGTAGGTAACGGGGTTCAACACTCTGAGTACATTTTTTCGGAGGGAATGAGTCACGATAACGTTAAAGATTACAGTATTTAATTTTTTTTTTGGGTTGTTGGTTCAGTGATTCAGAGATTATTTTTTAACAATACCGCCAATGGCAAACATTTTCATATTCCATGAGTATGAAAACTCAATTGAGCATGAAATTAGATATTCGATAAATGGCTCTAACCTCTTCAGCTATCGCTAGAGACACTAACTGAAACTTAAGTTTTCTCTAAAACTAAATTATTATCCCATTTATAAACAAATTTAATTTTGTGTTTAAAGAAAGGAACATTTCCACGGAAATCTAAAAAATGTACAATGTACAGCATAATTTTTATCTAAAAGCGTAAAAAATACTTAAGGATTGCGGTTATTTTCGCCTATTTAGGCATAAGCAGTACGTACGTTCCGGCAAATATATGACTCCAGTTATACCGAGAGGGCACTAAAAAACACGACCAAAGGCAGCTATCGATCTTTGAATATTTGTCTTTGATAGAATTTTTGTCTTGTCAGATTACCGTCAGTGTTGGAGTTTGAGCTAAAAACGCAACGATCACAGACAAACCTTCAAATATCCATGACGTGTTATTAATCGTGTTTTTATTGCTCTCTCGGCACTTATTTAACGCAAATCATTTTAGATTAGAAAGTGAAATAAAAATTAATTTTACAGGTTGTGCAGTACTAAAAGCAGCAAGTTGTTATAAATTTTAACATAATAATGCCATATTTATGTGTATAGCGTATTATACCGAGTGTCTGGAAAATGGCGGACTAACTGTCCGCTACGATCTCAACAATCAACTGGTGACTCTAGGGAAAATAGTAAAAATCCTTCTCACATTTTGGTAGAGTTACAATGATTTTAAAATTGGTTCTTTTGCTACGTTTAAAAACTAAACAACACATTCATTATCACAATAACTAGTAATAAAATTTTCAGTTAATAATTCTCGCGTCCATGACCATGTTTAATTACCATTTCAGTTAGAATGTACAAATATATGGTTCTGTTGTTTTTGTAATAATAATTTGATAAAATTCCATTTGACAACAATGTTTGCCTGATATTAAGCGAAGGTACAATAAAAAAAGTTAAAAATGTTTGACGTATCAAAAATTGTCAAAGTTTTCAAAACCCTACGTTTAAAGTGTTTGCAGTTAATTTTAGGTCCCCTGGGTGTTTTGTTGCTGGATGAACTTGAAAAAATCTTTTGAGCTTTTTTTTTTTAATTCGGGAGACTCTTGGGTACCCATGGTGAATTATTTTGGGAACCCATGGAGATTTTTTTTTGTATTTTTTTTTTCAATTGTAAATTATTTAAAACAATTTTGGTGTTCTTTTTGTGGAAAATTCTGACCTGACCTGTTTTTGAGTTCATTTTGGAAATCCGTTTTTTTTTGTGAAAAATTTAAAACAATCTTGAGGTTCTAGGTATTTCTGTTTGGAAAGAATTTAAAAGTGCTTTGGAGCCTCTAGTGTCTTTTCTTATAATAATTTAATTAAATTTCTTATAGGATACGTCATTTGCTAAAATCAATCTTATCTTAGCAGGTACTAGCCCCGCCCACCCACCCTCTCTTTACTTGGAGGGTATCTCATTAGCCAAAATAAGTCTTATCTTAGCAGCTACTAGCCCCACCCATCCACTCTCTCTTTTCGTGGAGGGTATCTCATTTGCCAAAATTCAGAGACTTCAAATATATTTGAAGTCTGTCAAAATTAGTCTTACCTTAGCAGTTACTAGCCCCGCCCACCCACCCTTTGTTTTCTTAGAGGATAAGTCATTTGCCAAAATCTGTTTTATCTTAGTAAGTACTGATGATCAACTTTCACAAACTGATCAAAATTTGGAAACATTACGAGCTTACTTACTGTTGCTTTCAAAAGTTTCGCGTATACACCTATTTTTTTCTACATTGATTTTCATCTTGACACTGACAGTAATTGTATGCCAAACTTTTGAAAGCAACCATACATACACAAGGTAGGAATTTTGAACATCTTCTCTAGTGTTTACTTGGTTATGCTTCAATGGATTTTTCTTTTGTTGGTTTTGTTTTTATTTATAATTTATAAATATCTTATTAATATATTTTTTTTTGTTTATTTATTAATGAAAAATAACAGCTTGTTTTATTAATAATAATAATAATAATAATAATAATGCACAACGACTAATACCTACTGGTTATTATGGCTATTGTCCTAAAAAAATTAAAGGTGGAATCAGAAAGTACGCCGGGGGTATTCACGCATTAGGTGCGTGCAATGTTCCTAAATTTACTTTTATAAAATTACGTTTTACATAACGTACTGAAGATTTAATCCGCCATTTTCCAGACACCCGGTATTCTATATAGGGGCCAAGGCTAGCGATTAAGGCACTCCACAATACAATCTTTTCACTTTAATTATGTAAAAGTTGGGAGAAAGTTTAACGCAAAATCTATTTTAAATGGCCTTTAATAACTTTCTAAACGTCTAACATTTTTGGGCATGGAGAATAAAATCATTTATTGCGATTTATTTACATATTTTTTTGGTGTTTCTCAGGAATCCTAAAAAAGTGATATTTCCTATTATTTGAATAACGTATTTTTAGACACAACTACGTCACACAATAACTTGATCATTACATTTAGGCAAAAAAACAGTTCAACTTCTGTACATTCAATAAGACTTTAATATTCTTTATTAAATAAATAATAATTTGTTCAGAGTTTCAGTAGTTTGTCTTTATATATAGAAAAGTGGATAGACGATACGTTTTAGGTGAACCACCCTACATTAACCTCCGTAGCAATTAGTAATAATAAAATGTTACATAGTTTACGATCCATTTTTTTCTGGAAACACATGGCTACATAAAAACATAAAGCATGACACCAATACCACTTTACGACTGGAAGGTCATTTTTTTTAACAATTAAAACATTTTCAGGGCCAAGTCAATTTGTATGCATTGTTAGACAAACGTTGTTAAAACTGTGTATACCAAAATTTTAAAAATAATACACGCACAAAGAAATTTATTTAGCTTAGTACACATTTTTAAACAGAATTTTTGTGAGAACATAAGTGACTAGTACGAGATAAAATTCATATATTGTAACTAACTCTCACATTAAAATGATAAATAAATTATTTTCTGCTTAAAAATATACCGATAAAGAAGAATTATTAACGAGTAAGTAACTCACTGTACCACCCTTTACCACCATTTACATATTTGTTCAAGCTGTTTTGCCTTATTTTAACATTTAAATTGCAATAAATTCAACTTACAGTCAACTTGTAAAGTCTGTAAATGCATATCAAAGCGTACTTTTCAATATTTTTTTTACTTAAGTTAACTATGTACATAATATACACTACTATAAAAATATTGATTTGTGGTCACTTATTTTACACCTAGTGAAATACGAAAATTCAGGTGTCCCTATTTCACTGTTGTCTGTTGTCTGTTTTTACGTTGACAACTTTATTGCACAAATAATTTGCAACCAACAAATCAATTACATTCAAACTGTAGTTGTTCCTTAAGATAAAAATTTGCTTACTCATCCCCCAAAACAACGTTTGACGTCATTTTAAAATATGTTAAATGAATATACTTTAATTCTGGATTTGACATGCTCCCTTATTACCTGTATTTTTCATGTTGGGTATACGTAAAAAATAACATTAGATAATCAAATTTTACAGTTTATTTCAATTAATTCTACAAAATATAATTTATTTGAAAGTGGCAACACCTAATATTGATTTTTAGGTTATATTAACTAAGCCTCAAAAAAATATAGTTATTCATCCTTCATTCAAAATTTATCACAACATCCAGAAAAATTATTAAACAAATCTCTACTTAACATCCGCCCAGAAATTCAGTGATGTATCCTAAGTTATATGTATATGGTATTGGTTTACATTCTCAGACAGAGCATCAATATGAATTCAAATTGATTTTTAATGAGCTTGCTTTCTTTAACCAACGGAGTTAAATAATTTATCAAGTGGCATCATATTTTGATATGTTTTATATCATCTTTATGTGATATGTTTGTTTAAGCAAACGTATCATGTGTAAAAGTTTATAAAATTAAAATAAAACATTTCTCACAAAATAAAACAGTTAATTTTTTTCAGATTATGTGTTTGACCTCAGTCACAACTTTTAAAACCAGTATGCTCGTCCACCGCGGGCAAAAGATTAAAGGTGATTATTAACAAATTACCATAAATTAATGAGTACAAAAAAAGGACGTATTGTGTAACTTGGTTTCATTTAATTTAATAACACCTAAGATTTTTCAACTACGCAAGAGAGGTATTGTGCACAAATTTAAAAATAATTTTCTTCCAAGAAAATCATAAATTATACTGTTTATTATGATTAAGGAATTTAAGATGTAAGGAACTGATGAATGATTAGCCAACCATCAAAACTGTAACCGTCAACACTAATGCATCACCTCATACATGCAAAACCACTACACCAGCTACTGATGTTTAAATTTCACAAAACAAAAAATCAACTTACCTGACTTGTATTGTTCGAGTCACCGCGTCCATTATTTTCGTCGTCTGCGCTTATATGGTAACGACGCTCAAAAACTGTGGCTTGCTCAAGGACCCTTTGCTCTTGCAACTGGTTATCAACGTTATTGCTGTAAAAATAAATCAACATCAATATGTGAAAAAATGTCGCTTTAATAAAATTAAGCACCTTAGAGTGGGTCTTTCCCACTGTGTAGTTCGCGCGATATGGTTGACGTAGTATGTTCTTCCGTTCGCATCTTGCCGTTCCTCCCATCCAGGAGGTAGAGGCGTTGTGGAATCAGAAGTAGCATTCACATAAAGGGCCTGCAAAAACAAAAACCGTTTGTACCAGAATATACACAAAGTTGCAAATTTTTTACCGGCGCGGGACTTTCTTCTCTGCCTTCGCTAATGAACTCCCAGTCTCTGTCATCGCCAATACTTTCTTCAGGATCTGCAAGAGGTGGTACATCGCTGTCGTAAAGGAAGGCGTGATACAGTTCAAGATGTCCTCGAACCCTTGAACGCGCACTAAAACCGCTACGTAGAGTAATTGACGTGAAAGACCAGCATGCAAAACATTAAGCACATATTAAAACATGCAAGCAGGCAAATAATATAAAAAATTTAACAAATGGGTAATGTTTACCTTCTTTGTCTTAGTAGATATTTGACATTTCCTATGTTCCTTCCTTCTTGTTCCCTTGGCAAATTGATTAACGTGAGTTCTACCATTCCCAAGAAGTCATCCCTAGTTAATCTATTTTCATCAAATACTTGTAGCACCAATTTATGTTCCGCAGGCTTCACCTAGAGGTTACAAGTTCATGTGGTTATTGAAACGCATCAAGAAGAACTTACCCTAAATATAAACTCTTCGTTCCATTCTGGATTCAAAGTCTGAGAATAAAAAAAAAATATTTTGAGTTTTTTCTAAATGTACATTTACCTTTTTCTTTGTTTTGGTTAACACAGAATCAATAGTCTCATCTCCATTTATAGTATTCAGGTCAATTTTCACGTAAGGATCACTGGAAGAAAAATATTAGGATAAAATATTGCTAAACAATAACCACTACCTCGCCCCAAAAATATCTTTTTTCATAAGATTCTTCCCTCGGATTATCGTGAGTCGAATCTTGCTAGTAGGTTCTTCAGTCTGTGAAAATACAATGTGATGTAAAAACTAAACACACAAAAAATCTACATTTATTATATTATAAGTTTTGTGTGCTTAACAATAATTGCTTATAATTAACATCCTGGCATTGGCAAATTAAGTTCAACAAAGATGGAAATTAAACAGGTGTTGTAGCATGGAGAAAGCGATGAGTCAAGACAAGACAATCGATTATTAGTAAAATAATGTATCTAATTTGTTGCGCTCAGTAGATGGAAAACATAAATGAATGACATTGGCTGAAATGATCCTCGCTAGTATTTTTGCCAACTTACATATCCATCGATTCCAATTTGAGGAAGGTAACCAAATACATTATCTAATGCCATTAAAGATATAAAATAAAATTTCTACGTTACATCTAACGTCAAAATGATCACAGCCACGAAAACAATTTATTTCATTCCAATATGAATTGACAAGCAACACAAATCCAAATGTCAAACTTTTTTAACGCAGTGACGTATGTTAGGGAATTTTCATTTTCGTGACAATGTACTGCATCGACCATGCCGCGCCTCGTTTTTAAAAAAATCGGAGAATTCTGTGTCATAAACTCATAAATAACGAATATTTACAAGAAAACAATTATCGCAGAAAGATACTGCCATTTAAAATTTTAAATAGTCATTTTTACTCATATGTTGCGGTTTTCAACAACAATAAAAAGTTTTTATTGACTTAAAATTAACATGTTTTCTATTCCAACTGAATGTGACTTCCCGCTCAACTGCAACGCTCAATCTTAATAAAATCTGTTATTAACGTCGTTTTATTTGTTTTTTACTTCATCGGAAGCGATTTATATGCAGACTTACGTCTGAAAATTATAAGTAAGTGTTAAAGCTAATTAATAACAATTCTGATGCACAGTTATACCGATTTGCACAACTTTGTTCGGAGTTCTGAAAAATAAAATAATAAGAATTTCTCTATAAAACAACAACACTGCCGTCATCTTGTTATGAATATTAAAATCCTTTTATTGTTGTCATATGATCAGGTCTGAACTGGCTAGCGAGGAACTTTTTATTTTATCAATGCCTTACCAACGTGGATACGCAAAACGATCGTCTCGGGACTTGATTTAAAGAAACCACAGATGAAGCTCTTAGTCGATTTCCCCACGATCTACTTCTTCTTCTGTGACCGTCCGAGGACGCACCAAGTTGATTTCGCACTTCCAGCGGCATGTATGCGACAACTGAACATTTGCATTATCCTCAAAAACACTCAAAAACTTATCTTTTTGGAACACTTGACGCACTACAACGGCACTGAAACATCGAAGACTATAATATGATAGTCGTTCTATCACTAAATTTGTCACATAAATTACGTTTTGACTCGTTCACCTGACGCTGACGAAAATCTTATCTTGAAATTAAAACAAGTGATAATAAAGTGAATAAATATCTTCAATGAGATTAGTAACACAGATAAAATTTGGAGCAAAGTATATGTATATCTACCGTAAGCACGAATTAAAGACTAGTTTTTTCCGGTCATGAACATACCTATATAATTTATTGTGTAATTAAATTTTTATTTCTACACTATGTGATTTTTGTTATAATGAGGAGTTATTTGGTTTCTTGTAGTATTCTTTTCATTACGCTTATTGTTCAGAAATTTGTTAATAATTTGTGATTCGAAATGCTTTTATTTTTTAGAATAAATATAATAAGTACTATTTGTAAATTCAATGTATTTAATATTTATTTCGTTTATTAAAAATTTAATAAATCTAAAAACGCATTACATAAATAAGTGAAGTTCTATAGTGTGTACCACTGCCGGCTGTATTATATCCTGCCTGTTCATTTCCACAAAAATGCATTGAAAAAATTTTGCCGTCAGGGCGTGAGGGCAGCACTGGAGGGGCGCTTTTGACCTTGACAATTGTCAAACAAACTTCAAATTTGAAGTTTTATAAATAGGTTAAATCGGGTTAGGTTAAATGTTTTGAACAATTTATTAAACGGTTAAACGTTGAATCATACATCGTATCCTCTCTATGGTTGAAAATTACAACAAAAAGGACTAGCAAAGGTGAAATTTTGCAAAAGGCACTTCTCGATTTCCCATTAATTGTTTCCCCAAAGCAATTCTACATCACCCCCTGTTCACGTTCCGCACCTTCAAAAGTTGTACAACTGTTTTCTTCTGTTCCCGACATTACTCCTCGCGTGTTGGTGACTATAAAAAGTTAGGTTATATTGGAAACAGCTTTTCCCGTTAAAGAGTGTATGAATTGGGAAATTTAACATTTTTTTTTGTAGCAAAAGGAAACATTTGAAGGTGAGGAACGTGATTAGGGGGTGGTGTAGAAGAATTGTAACCAAACAGTTTGTGCGAAATCGAGAAGTGCCTTTTGTAAAATTTCACCCTAATTAGCGCTGGAAGAATATAAAAAAACAGACAGGTATGTTTATAATTTTAATACTTTTCTTGAATGGGGTTTATGGGTCAAATTACTAAACAATGTAACATTTTCAGTTCTTGTATAACCAAAATTTGCAAAAATTGGTTTCAACACTTTAGACAATATTAAGTTCGCAACCATTACTTTGTGGTTTTTATCTTCACAAGGCAAAAAAGCTGAACTGGCAATTGGCTCTAATAACAAAGACTCCACCACAGTTCTTGGATGATGATTTACTGGTATGTGTTCCAAAATATCAAATGTAATTTTTATAATTTTATTTATAAAATTTGTGAATGATCTTGTGGGATATTTTAATTTTCCTCTGTCTTGCAGATATATCAAGTCAAGCAACGGGGTAGATTTTGCGGTGGTTAGTAATGAATCTAAACAATTTTTGCACTCTAACCTTTCTTCAATTGTTCTACAAATATATCCAGATAAAAACGCAACTGATGCAGAGTTGATATCTGTGAAAATGGTATTAACGAATGTTAATTTATGAAGGTCACTAATTTCTTCAATTATACTGTCAGGTATATGTATATTTGTTTCTGTTGTAGATCTTTCAGAAGACTGAATTTGACCAATTTTACTCAAGTGATTACAGTCAGAATATACATTTGCTGATTCTGAAGTTGTTACTAAACCTGACTTAATTATTCGTTTAATAGCATAGTGTGCAGCCCTGGCATCAGTAGCGTCCTGAGAACCACCGCATAATCGGACATTGCTAAACATCGATTCAACTGCATCTGAGCTAAATGCTCGCGTTAAGACATAGAAAAAGCCACTCTCTTCCAGTAAATACTTGATACATTCTGCAGTGCTTTTGGCAGTGAATTTTACTGCTTCTGCAGTCTCTTTAGTCAATCCCGTCATTTTATTTGCCTTTGAAGATAGTTGAATGGAATCTATATAAGCAGGTAAAGTTTTTAACATCCAGAGAAGGCGTTCATCATTAATATCTGTATATGGAGCACTATTTTCATTTAGTTGCCGGATGTGCTGAGTTTTGTCATTGACATCATGAATTTTAAAAAATGTGTGCATCATTTCCATAAACTTTAGAGTCTCTTCAACATCAACAAAACCTGGATTGTTATATTTTCCCAAATACTCTATTGCTGCTCTTACTTCTATGGAAAATACTTGCACAGCACGACGGACGTTCATCTTTTCTAAATTGGTTGGGCAAATATGCTTCCTGGTCAAAAACTTTACCGGTTTAACAATTAATTTGTGTTGCATATCATATATTTTCTTTAAAAAGTCGTGCAGAAATAATACCGTTACCAGAATGCATGTCATGGTACAAAAATATGTTCTTCAAATTTTTAATAATATGACAGTAATCAAAGCTCATAAATAATGGTATTGTTGGTTCTATTGGATGTTGAATATGAGTCATTAAATTATTACTTGATGACAGAGATTTGAAAAGGGCCACATTTGACTTATGGTTATCTGTCACAATTCTTAAAACTGTAAATCCACAATTATGTAAAAGTTTCATTACTTTTAACGTCAAATTCACAAAATCTATGTTTTTTAGAGTTCGATGGAAGAAATATCCGGCGGGTATCGTGTACTTAGTAGTCATGCCGTGAACAACGTAACATAACATTTTGCTGGCCAACGTTGGTTTTTTTCCAATTGTTTGACTACTCTCATTGGTAGTCTCTAACCCATAGAATTTGTCTTCTGTGCGGCTGTAACACAGTTTTTCCTTGATGGAGATGTCGTCAACAATTAAACTACAAATCCTTTCAACGGGTTGTAGCACTTCGGCTTCTGCTTTCAAGCGTGCCTCTATAAGTCCTGTAACATCTTGTCCATTTCCTATATACCGTTTTGAAGTACTTCGACTAGGTAATTTCAATATAGAAGCTTTACCATAGTTGTATCCCTTTGGGGATGAAATCCTCCAAGCAATACATGATCTTACAGTTACTTCTGACCATCTAGATTTTTGTTTGTTGTAATTTAATATTTGGTCTAATAGAAATGTGGCTTTTGGGTCGTTATTCTTGGCATCAGCTTCAATTTTTTCGAATATACGGGCTTGATTCGTTTGATTGTCAATTTTTAATTGCAGTTTTTGTAGCTGTTGATTTTTCAGTTTGTTCTGTTTGTCCAAACGGTTTACTTTCATTTTCAGTTTTTTTATTTCAAGTTTAAGTTTTGATATATCATCAAGACGAAGATCAGTATTGGAACTTAATGTTTGGGATTCATTATATAAGGACTCAGGTTCAGAAGGAATTGTTGAGTGACTTAAATCAGGACTCGACAATTTAAAAAAATATAATTAAAATTTATTAACTGCCAATAAAATATTACTGGAGGTTCTTCTATCGATGTTGGACACGTGGATGTTGATTGGAAGGGAGGAGATAATCTTGGAGTAACAGTACTCTAAAATAAATAATTATTAGAGGAAAGTTCTAAAAAAAGTGTGAAAATAGGTAGGAACAGAAAAATAATTTTACTCCTGACTTTAAATTACGTTATTAATGTACTGTTCGCTTATATTTTCACAGTTGTAAGGATTGTAATTACAGGAATAATGGATGATGAGGGCTTGATATTTAAAGGAGTAGAAGACTGGGCAAGGGCAACGAAGGATTCGTGTGTGGATGCGTAATAAGCATCATCACCCTATAAAAACTATAATTTTATTTCTGTTCAGTTTAAAATGTAAATAAATATACATGAAAAACTGTTGGAACTGCATTTTTTTGCAAGCGTTTACTACCATTTGCTGCAAACTTAAAATCTGTGGGTTTAAAGTGCAAATTGCAAATGGTTGAGTACTGACTGACGATCTGCTGCGTTGGAGCTATAATAATTAATATTTAGTATTAAAAGAATAAATGTTCAATAAGCTTTTCTTACAACAAAACTTCTCTACTTTATGTAGCCATTTTTCTCTTAGGAGGGGCTCAGAGGGAAACTGATGGAAGGACTTTGAGTATTTGGCAGGGCACTGGGGCACAATGCATTTTTTGTGGAACCGCATTTTCGTCCCAGTAAAATTAACGTAACAACTTAAACTATGTAATAATAACGAACCACTAACTGAAGTTAAACGACCAAATAGGAACAAAACAACAAAAAACAAACACTAATTTAACTATGAAATAATAACGAAACACTAAACGAGTTGAAACGACAAAATGCGAACGAAACACCACAAAACAAATAAAAAAGGAACGAAAACTGCAAATCAAAAAGAAAAACAACGAACAATAACAAATGGACTTCACAAATAACTACTTTCAGCGCGCTTAAAGATTCTCAAGAGAATTTTAATTTGAATGTCAGATTTGACACCAAAAAACAGTGAGTACCATCCAACCAACATAAAATAATAAAAATTCCTAAAATGCGCCCATCCGCTAGCGCCCTCACTAAAATCGGAGGATACAGTGGAACTACAGTTATGAACAGGCCGTATTAACTAATGCAGCAGGTCGTGGTGTGTACAATCTACAGCACAAGCGAAGTAGGGGAGACTGATCAAAATTCGGACATTGGTACCTTTTTTAATTTTAGCAATATTTACATTTTTGCATGTACATATCTATCAGTGGCGGCTCCTCAGAGGAGGCAGGGGAGGCTGAGCCTCCTCTATTTTTGGAGCTGAGCTTCCTCTAATTTTTTTCGATGAAAGAATTTATATTTTTCTAGACATTTGTCATTTTTCAGAATATTTTCTTGGATTTCATTTACTTTCATCATATATCAGGTTAAAATGTCGGAAAAATTTATATTTGTGCCCTCACAATCATAATTCACATTCACACCACTCCGCGTTTGGTTTCAGCGGCAGAGGCTTGCTAGCCGCTAGCCTCCGAACGACGATGCATCTGAATAATGAGACCGTGACCTTGACGCATCGTCAGTGTGTATTGCATTGGCTAAAACGTTGATTGCACTGCCGCTCCAAGCCGCTAGCCTCCGGCTAGTTCATCTCTTTTCAGATCAAGTCGTACAGATAACTTTATCTCTTTCTTATTAGTTGGAGCAATCGGGTGTAAGTAGGAAAAACATTGAGGTGGTTTCGCGAGCTCCCTGTTCAGTGGTGGTGGTGTTTAGGCTTTACGTAGGTAAGGGTATAAAAGGGAAGACCAACACCATCACACCCATTAATGGTATTGACAGTTACAATTAGAAACAAAACAGAGCATTTCATGAAAATAATTATAATAAAACTAAATAGTTAACGGCTTCGGATTTAAGAAACAAATTATACTGTTGGAATTGTGTATTAGTGATAAATCTTCCGCTTGGGGTAAAACAGGCTATAATAATTTACAAAATTTGTCACGAGCTATAGAAAGACATGAAAAATCACAGGAACACATATTTTCTTAGATTAAATTAGAAATGCTTGGTAAGCAAAACATTGCCAATAATTTAGATTCGGCTCATAAAAGGGAGAACTATTACGAGAAAGTTGGTGAAAATTGGGCAATTTTGAAAAGACTAATCGATGCAATATAATTTATCTGTCAACGCAAGAGTGTTCTTTTCGTGGGCATGACGAAAAAAATTATTCAGATAATAAAAGATATAAAAAGTAGTGCTTTTCAAATTTGAGCCTCCTCTGAAGAAAACTTCACGAGCCGCCACTGATATCTATTATTATAAGCATATTTGTCAAATTATTGTTTAGTTCAATTATGATTTATTATAATATTTCTCTTTTTTTTATTTATTATTATTTATTTATTATTAAGTGTAAGTCACTTTGAAATTTTGTAAAATGTAAAAAGCTCCGTGTGTTTGTTGCACAGTATAGATATCAATTGATATCTATACTGTGGTTTGTTGCCTGATACATAGATAACCAATAATTCAGATCGAATAATAATGTTGATACGAATCTCAAACAATATCCGCAACCCAAAAATATAAAAAATTGTGCCAAAATATGGTAAATTTTATGAAGCGATAGTAAAAAAATTAATTGGAAATAAAATATTAGCATCATTAGCATTTATATGTATTGTACAGGGTCATTATAAAATATTGTAGTCGAAGAAGGCCATGATTTTGGTGACATTTTGTGCCGCCTTTTTCAGTTTTGTGGAAAGGATTACACTAATATTGGAATTTTTATTTTTAGCGCCACATTAGTTGACATTAGCGGCTGCACTGTTTCAACGCTTCATCAAATTCTGTCAGATGTCAATAATTTTTTCGTTTGTACTGGTACGTTTTCCCTCACTTTGTGCGTTAATTGACTTGTCTTGTTTTCATTTTTGCTGTCTTCCCCTTTGTTAGAACTTTAATAAGTGTCTCAAAAAACAGTTTTTATCAAAATTACGGATCATTGTGGAATAATCTCAGGTAATGAACAGAGAGGAATAACTATGGTTAGTGTTACAAATGATTTTTTTAGTTCTTTGGCGCAATCATCATGCCTATTACCGTAATGGGGTGTTAAATGAGGATGGGGATGGAGTGTACTCTGTGGAGGCGTCTAAAAACGAGTATCTAGTGAAATGTTCTGTTGTCATTGATGAAGAATCTTTGAAGACGCTATATGGCGAATTATGGCCAGATTTAACGACACTGGTAGCATTTCTAAGTGAAAACCGACGGGGAGACCTCAAGTTAGTGAAGACGTTGTTGAAGATTTAAGGATGAGAATGGAACAAAGTCCGAATAAAGCTTTGTCAAAAATCTTTACTGTCCGGAGTACCATACAGCCCATGTCAGAAAATCGTAAAAGAGAAGTTACATATGCATCCATACAAGATTTTGTTGGTTCAGGAGCTGCAACCAGCTGATTTTCCTTGCCGCGTTGGGTAGTGTAGTTGGTTTCAAGCTGATATGGACGATAACGGGATTCTCGATTTGTCGTTCTTTTCTGATGAAGCCTGGTTTCATCTGTTAGGCTATTATGTCAACTGGCAGAACTTCAGAATTTGGTGTATAGAAAATACTCACGCTTTTGAAGAAACACCATCACACGCAACGAAGGTTGGTGTGTGGTTAGCAGACGAGGATTCATAGGCCTGATACTTTTTCAAGTAAATGAATGTGATCAATAAACAAAATTAGATGTAGAAAGTGTATGTAGGTACTGCAATAAAGTTTTTTATTTTCAGTAACTTTCATTTTTCTTTCGGTGTTAGTTGCATTCTCTTAATTTAAAACTTACTTCAACTTACTGTTTAGTAATAATTGTAATTTTACTATTAGGAAAGTTAAAAATCTTTATTAAACATTCTGTTGTTTCAAGAGATCTCATAATCAGCTACAGAACTCTTAACACTATGCTCCTGAAATTTTATTGGTTTTTTCATCTTTTTTCTTATAGAAATTTTGAAAAATCTTGATATTAGGATGGCCATGTGGGCGTGTTTTGGGTAGAACCTCTTTGACATTCCTGTTATGCAGATCTGGCATGTTTCAGATATCTAGAAACTGCAAAGCTGAAGGTAATGTTTGGACATAGCAGTTTTCACCTATTGTAGGGATGAAGATCAAGGATTTCAGTTGTGTTTTTTCAAGAGAAAAGCACCGGTCACAAACCATGTCTGCACCAATATTTTGACGATTCCTTTCAATTTACAAACAGAACTTTCGCGGGATCACAACTTTGGCAAAATTATTTACTGCAAAAACTCATTAGGTACTCATAGTGTTCGTTAACTGTGATAAGACTTGCTCTGCCATTGTCCATTACGTGATTTTTCACAATTTTTACCTTCAGGGTACCTATAAAAATGTAATTTTTTAAATAATTACCGTGTTCATTGGTTTCGACAAACTTAACCTCACTTTTTGGATTTCATTATTTGAAAAATTATTGCTTCTTTGCAAAACAGACCAGATGATTTATTCTGTTCAACTCCAATCGACTTTCCAAGGTGTAATTCATGACAAAGCCCTTAAACGTTTTTCTGACAATTTACAATTTTTGAAACTGAAATGTATTGCAGTGGCGTTCACAAATGCCCGATAACACTGCAACCCTTAATGCTCTGGCCTGGCGTCTTTTCGTGTCTATTTAAAATGAATTTAAACCGCGAACCGGGCATTTCAATTTTTGACACATCTGACAGATTTGTTTGGACGTTCGTGACATTTCAAAACAGTTCAAATCATTTTGGTGATTAGCGGCACGAGAAAAATTTCATTTGTTTTTCATAGGTGAGTTGACTACAATATTTTATAATGACCCTGTATAAAAAAACAAGAAGACAAAATTGTTTTTAGAATTCCAAATTGTTCCGCCACTGTGTACCACATTTAAAAATCGACGTGCCGGTCTGGTAGATATCTGTATGCTGATTTGCCGTCAAAAACTATATAACCTCAAAATTAAAAATCAGAAATATAAGCATTAGCAACACACGATGAGACTAACTCAAATCCTGCTTTCCAAAATAGGAAAGTATTCCAAAGACTTTTCTAATTTACCAGATCGTTACATAAACCGTGCAATGGAGCAAGTGGAATGGAAGAACCCGAAGGGTATCCAATATAAAGCAAATACAGTTCTCAAGCGCCGTAAATTTAAGATGGGAATGCATAGACCCTGGACAGCTCAGTTCCGGGAGGACAATTCCCCAGGAGTGAGCCATGACAAAGTATGGGTGGAACCTATTAGAAAGTGGAGTTTCTTTAGGGGGGATCGAGTGGAAGTTCTTGTGGGTAAAGATAAAGGAAAGCAAGGAATAGTCAAGCAAATTTTCCAAGAACGAAATTGGGTCACTGTGGAGGGTTTGAACTGTGTTTTAGAGAAAATGGGTGAACGAAAGGATTTTGCTGGGGTTTATTTGCAAATAGAAAAACCTCTGTTAGTCACAAATCAAGTAGCACTTGTTGATCCATCGGATTTAGAAGCAACGCCATTTGAATGGAGATTTACAGAAGATGGAGAAGAAGTCAGAGTGTCTACAAGGACAGGGAGAATTATACCAATGCCACCCTCAGCTGAAGAAACTATTGATTACAAAACTAAAAGCACTTATAAGGAACAACCCAAAGATACAAGAGCTGATGATGTTGTTCAGATAACATTTGAACCTCAGTTGAAAACTTTCGAAATGGATATTATGGAGAACATAGGCATTAAGGAAGATCGAATACCCCCAAAATCGTATTGGTATTAGTTTTATTAAATGTAATAATATAATAATTGTAAAATATTTACTTGTTTCATTTGATAAATTCAGCACTCCATGAAGTGAATACATTATTTAAAAAAATATGAACCGTAATTTTCTTTCTTTATTAGACACGCTATACAGTCTTTTCATAAATAATGTTTGTTTCGCACTGTGTAATTGTCTACATTATCATCTACTGTGATTATATGTAGTTGTGTGTTTAATTGGTTGCATAATTCCAAACGTGAATTACTTTTTTTTTTATTAGCGTAATATGACAAGTTTAGTTTATTAGGCACCTTCATATTTTATTCCAGAATTATTTAACTGAAAAATTGACTAATAAAGCATCAACAACTGTTACTTTTATTATTGCAGACCGATTTTGGGAACTATTCTACGCCACTGGTTTTCACATGGGAAGTCCCGAAGTGTATGATATCTAGCGGCTATTTATATCTGGCTACCAAGGCCGACGATTCAGATCTTGGGTGGTTTAGAGCCATCCATTTTGCCATATTTGCAGTGTTAACTGGTGCGATAGTGCAAAATTTGTTACAGATCTTAAACAGCTATTTGTTCAAAATTAAAATGTTGCGTAACTTTGTAACCATAGTTGTTTTGTTTTTGTTACACGAATATATATGCGATGAGAATGTTGATAAAAAAAAGACATTTAGGTAAGTATATTAATAGCCTTCATAAGTTGCAATTGTATTAATTACTTTTGAAAATGTTTATTCAACTAGTTTTGAAATTCGTCGTTACAAGACACCAACCGAACATTATTTGAATTATGGAGAGCAATTAGGGCCAGACTTCAAGCAAATTTTGAAAATGGCGCGAGATAATGATTCGATTGCCCTGTACAGGTTCTTAGACGTAAGTATATATTTATTTTTGGTCTCACTTCATTTTATAATCAAAAGTAGATTTAAAAACAAAAAACCGGTACATCTGAAAATTTCAAAAGTTTAAAAATTTCGCACAAAAATTTAATGGAAAAGTTTGAAAGATTGTAATATCTACAGATAAGTCTCCACAAATAGAATTGCACATTCAATACTGTTTACTTTTTGAACATGTTTACCAACTATACTTACATTAATATTTGCTTTTTAATCTCGGTTATGTAATTGACGCCTTACAAGGTGTGGTGGTATTATTTATATTTACAAATAGTTATGCATAGATACCCTTATAGAATTGCATAATACAATTTGAATGATTTACAAATTTAGGTAATTCACCCAAGTCCAAACGTTCTATACATATTTTAGAATGAATAATGACGATATTACTTGTTAAATTTTATTTGAACCAGTAACAGAAATCAAAATAAACGAAATAAAATTGTTAAATATAAAATAAAGCTTAACTTGAACATTTTCTGTTTTTAATAAATATTAATTAACGTTTGCGGATCTGACAATAGTAAGTGAACATTCCATTGCACGCGTAAGAAGCTAGGATATTATTAGGAAAGAGAATACATTTTTTAAATAATTCTTCAATATTTGTGTCAGTAAAACACAAATCACATCTAATCAACTTCCTGTCCGGCTTTCTCATATCTATTATACCTATATCATAAACAAAAACAGCATCTTCTTCTTTTCTTCTCAGAACTTCAACAGCCCAAAAACTATAATCCGAATTACGTTTAAAACTTAATCTGAATATGTTCTCATCAAAAACCATATAAAATTTCTGTTGATAATTATAAAAATCGATCATTTGCTCCAAACGAAACTCAACAGTGGTTTTATAAAAATCGGAACGTATAACCCTGTCTTTGTGCTTTTCATCAAGATGTTGTCCAATATTTGAATGAGTTCCTGAAAATGATTATCAGCGACATCTTACCACAGATTCTTTAAGTTTCTCACCTCTGAAGGAACAGTCATCCAGTGGACAAGGGTATGGTTTATAGGGACATACCACTTCATGTTTATCTGACTCATAAACTTGAAGAGTTTCTTCACAACCCAGATGATGGTACATACAAGAGTAACTAATACCAGCTGTTAACCCCTCTAAAGAGTAATTTCGTGTGGTTCCAAAAAGAGCCCTACAACTGGGACATTTTTCTAATTTTGGTCTGCAGCTACTGCAAAAGCTGTGTCCGAATTTACACTGATAAATTGGTGGTCTCATTAAAGTTTTGCACACTGGACATTCAAAGTATTGCAAAACTTTTTCATCAAATTCTTTAGTTTCGTTTCCTGACGAAGTTTTTATATTTACAGTTATGGTATCAGATGCATCGGTCATTTGTTTTAAAGCAGATAAATTAATTTTTGTTGACTGTATGTTATTCAGTGATGAAACTTTGCACTTTGTTTCAACACAATTACTATTTTGGCCAAAGTGTTTAATAATACAGTCATAATTACAGTCTGGGTTCCTAACATCACAAACTGTGTATCTAAGAACGTCATTTTCTTCATCTTTTTTGATTTTTATTATACATTCCTGTCTACCTTTTAAAAATTTTGTTATATTTGTAGCGTCATCGATATTAATTTCGATTACAAACATATTAAGTTGAGTTGTTAGTACATGATCCGAATGGTATTCAGTAAAATGACTAGGAAAATTACTCAGTATACCTTTCCACTCACATCCCAAGTGTGACATAAGGCAAGGTTTTTCATGGTATTTACAGTTACCTTCATGATCTTGCAAATTTTCAAAAACAATCCTTTCTTTGCAGCCAGTAATTTGAAACTTACATGGGATTTTTAGTTTCTTTAAAATCAGTTCTAATTTAAGATTTGGTAACCCATCCCAATCATTTTTCTCACAGCATTTTTCACAGGCATTTCCCACATCTTTGACTAGAGTTATAGGTGCAGTTAGGAGATTTTCGCAAGCAGCACAAGTGAATATTTTTTCTTCTAATAATTTATCAGTAAACTGAGTTATTGACTCCTCTGCCATTCTACTTAAAACCAACAGAACAATGAGGCTTGACTTCTTTGCTGTTAACTAGTAACTGACAAAAGTTAACTTGATATAACACCGATTAAATAAATACTGCTGATTAATTTTGAAACGGAGAATTTTGGAGCACGGGGGCTGTCACACTTCTTGCACAATATAAATTATTGACAAGACTGACCGATTCGATAACCTCGATTTCAACATGCCGTTTTCTTAACAGAAAGTAGTTATTGATTGCATCATTTGATACACAACGTTGTTTTTAAAAACACTGCAAAATGTGACTAGTTTGATAACATTCGTAACAAAAAATAACCTCGCTGTTGGTATGCTTGTGGGGGGTCGGCGGTATTATAGATTTCTATACAATTACAGTTCACAATTTGACATTCTGCGTCATTCGATTTGTGGCTCCATCTATGTGGTAATTTGATCATAACTAATTATACACATTTTTATTGAGGTGATAATAGTACATTATGGAACTAGTGGATGAAGTTGAATTTCAACGGCGAGAGTGATTTTTTCACACGAGCGAGTGCAACGAGCGAGTGCGAAAAAGAAACTCGAGCCGTTGAAATTTCTTCATCCGCGAGTTGCATATACTATTTTTTCTAAGAAATTAGGAAATAAATGTTTGTTTATGGTAGGTTTTTTATTTTTGAAATGCATTAACTGTAATAGAACAATTTGTGCAATTATCACCAATAATATTTACACTTTTATCGTAAGTATTATTTGAACTTGTATCTTTGTTTAAACTTAGTTGGCTGCTTCCTGTATCAATAACTGCACTTGTATCAGATTCGAAAATGCCGCATTGGCAGCATTCAAAATTTCTTCAGAAACTTCGTCAGTCTCACTCATGTTCATTGTTTTCACTTGTGTAAACTAGCAGTATTAAACGTCAAACACTAACGGGTCGTCCAGCCTAGGCGTCATGATTTTCGAAGCGCGCGAAGCGGACGGTGCGGTCGGTGCAGGCGATACGCGACACGTTTCGCTAGCTGCGAAACGCTCAGGCTGGACGACCCGTTAAAATCGTAGACGGCCGAGTATTTTTCCACTAGAGGGTGAAATGAAATTTCATCCACTGCCAGCGATGGGAAAATGACAAACTTCAACCTTAATGAGTAGAAAAAATCATTTCCGTATTTCCGAGTTCCCACTTCACCATAATAAATTGTTTCATTGCTAGATTGAGTAAATATTAATGATTTATATTCTGCATGGCTCAAAGTAATTACAGGTTTTTTAATCATATGTGTACCCATCTTATTGACATATTAATACATAAATTTTTTGTTAAGCAAGCGAAATTAAAGTTAATTCGCGATTAATTTTTAACTGAGGTCTGTTGCTAGGCAACGTGTATGTTTTGACCAATCACGGGCTCATATTCCACATTTTAATCCTATGTTAAATTAATCGAGGATTAAATATTTAATTCGCTTTTCTATAAACCGGCCCTTAATCATTTTATTTAAATTTGCAGTATATTAGCAGAACCTGTCGCATGCATTTTTTTGTTTAATAATTTTTGAAACTACTGTACCGGTTGATTTGAAATTTTCATAGTAGAATATCATGAAAATGGTAAAACGCCTACAAAATTTGTGTATTTCTATTTTATTAAAAATTGATGGCATTACTTATTTCCAAAATTTTATTGAGCGGAAGCTTCACTGAAAGATGACATATTCCTTCCCAAAGATTTAACAGCCCACCTTATATTTAAAATTATCTGTACTGATCGTCAAAAAAAAGCTTAAAATTTACAAATTCGCAAAACTGGATACATTTGTAGAAAACGCAGTGTAACGTCGATAATTTAATAGGAAATGTACCATAGTGTTCTAAATTATAGTTATCAATACACACAATAATTAAGCGAATATCCCAGATTGATATTTTGAGAAGGTTCCGAAGCCTAGGTGCATAATAATAAAAAATTTTAAAGTTTTCTGATTGTGATTTTTGCGATTTTCCTAAATTGTTTGGGTATTGCCGTTTAGAAGTTTCATATCTTGATGATGAGTGGACTTTTTTTTTAACAAAAAATAATAAAGAAATTGATATTTTTAAATATATTTTGAACATATTTAAAATATTTTTTGTATTTGTAAATTTCCATTAACCTGAAAAAATATTTTACTAAAATAGAGCATTTGTGATGGGCATTTTTCATAAAGCTGTTTAAACATTCAGTTCAACTCATTCTCTTTGCGCGTGTGACGAAGTTTCACCGCGTATTGTTTTGATAAAAGTTAAATAAATTTATGGTGGATTCAAATATTTTATGTGTATTTGAAATATTTAGCGGATAAAAACTTTTAAAAAATCTGTAGTTCTAATTTTAATGATTTCAATCATCGAAAAAATATTGTAACTAACGCGTTGACTAATGAGTAGTTAACAATTTCGCTGTTTTTTAAATTCCACTTGGTCGCTTGGTTCGATCGTCTAATAAAAAAGCCTCGATTGTTAGTAGCCTTCATTAACTCGTTAAATAACTGTTGGCACATTTTTATAAATTGTGTGTTTCAAGTAAGTATGTATATGGAGATAAAGTCTGAAGTTTAATAGTCATACTAGATATAAAACAACTGAATCATTAACAGAAAAAATTATCGCTGAAATTTCTCAACTGGCGTTTAATTATAATCACTTCTAAGATTTAATAGAAAATTCTGTCGAAATGGAAGCAATAAAACGAGTAATAAAGATTAGAACAGTAAATGGGAGGTCAGAATAGTTAATATAAATTTTTTAGAAAAATATGTTGGCTAGTTAAAATTTCTTAGTTTTTTTAGCGAAAAGCTACAAAATTGTTGTTTTTTTTTACCATATATATATATTATATATAATTAATTAGCTTACTGCTTTCCAAAATACACTCACTCTTTTTTAACTGTTACATTTTTGTTATTAATAATATATTATATATGTAGTAGTAATTTGTTGTATTTTTCTTTGGATATTTTAAAGGTAATTATAGTTTTTTTTTCAATAAGTTTAATGTGTTTGTATGGGCATTGGTTACATAAATTAAAAGATATTTTACGTTTTAGGATGAATTTTATGGCCAAATTGTTATTGGACATCCAGGACAAACGTTATATGTAAATTTTGATACCACATGGAGTTATTCATGGGTGATGTCTTCGAAATGTAGTTCCATTAAGACGATTGGTTGTTGTAAGTTTTACTTGTATTATTTACTTGCTAAGTATCTGTTCAGGTTGTCTTGAGACATAAATATTTGTTCCATTAAAGGATGCACTAATTTTTGTGTCACTGTAAGCGGTAAAATAGAATAATTTGTAAATATATGCAGTTTTTAAAAATATATCAACTAACTCAGTGCTGGAATCATTTGTTTCAAAAGTCGCAAAAATAACCCGTAAATTTTTTCAATACTAATAAAATTGTGCTATGATCAGTTTTGTTACGGCATTTCCTTGCCGGTTGTCTCATAATTATTAATGTTCCTAGTTTAACAGATCAAAGTTCTGAAGATAGTTGAATAAAAGATGCGAAACTTCGGTTCCTCCGTGTTTTTCAGTCATCTGTTAAATTAAATACGGAATGCTTTTTCAATTTTTAATAATTTTTAGACGAGATAGGTCATATCTTTGTAAGCCGATCTGTAAATAATTTAATGGAACACTTGTACATGTATTTATTTTACTAATCAAATATTTGTCTACATTTGCGGTAAATATTTTATTTTCAGATTTTCACCGTAAATATGATCATACCAAATCGTCAGAATATAAAAAAGATGGCCGACCGTTTGCCATGGATTTGGGGACATACAATTTAACGGGGTTTTATTCTTACGACAATATTTCGGTAAGAATAAATCTGTTATATTTATTGCCGCTATTGTTTAAGAAATTAAAAGTGTTTAAACTTAACAAACAAAACATTATTTTAGATTGCACATTCGAATGTAACTGGCCAATCTTTTATTGAAATGGTTGATGTCCCATACGAATTTATCATCAACAAAGCTGATGGCGTTATGGGTTTAGGTTTACAAACTGACGCAAATTATACCCCATTTTTCTACACTTTACTTCATCAAAAGAAAATTAAAGAACCGATATTTTCAATTTATTTAAACAGGTTCTTTAATGACAATAACTAGGTAACTGTTAACTTATTTACAATTTTTCTAGGGATCGTCAGTCGAATCGTGGGGGTAATGTAATGCTAGGTTTCGTTGATCCTAAACATATCCATAAAACGAAAATTAATGGTAAAATAGTAGCAGACAATTTTACCTATTTAAGTGTGGAAAATTATGCGTATTGGCAATTTCAAATGGACAGGTGAGAACATGTACGTTTTAAACTAAAACATAATTACTAAATCGGTGTTTAGGGTTGTCGTTAACGATCCAAAGGGCGAAAATGTAGTAGTGTGTCAAAATGGGTGTAAAGCTATTGCAGACACAAGTTCTAATACAATCGTTGGTCCGCAGGAAGACATATTCCAAATCCACGATAAGATAAAGGCAGAAGAATTTTTCATGCATAGATATACAGTAAGTTTTCGTCGTACCTTTACAACAACATTATTCTTATAATTTACTTATTTTTAGGTTAACTGTGACACCATAAATAAATTACCCAAAATCGATTTCATACTCGGTGGGAAGAATTTTACACTTGTAGGAGAGGATTATACAGTTAAAGTAAGCCTCAGATGTCTAGAGATTACTGCATATATATTTATGCTTTTGATTTTAGATGTCCTACCATTCAATTACTCTTTGTCTGTCAGCATTTGTTCCTGCTTACACTATTCAAGAACAGGACAGATGGATCCTTGGAGGTGCTTTCTTGGCTAAATTTTACACTGTATATAATGTTCAAGAGAAAACTATCGGTTTCGTTCTCTCTCATTAATTTGTATATGTAGTTTTCAACTATCGCTTTTAAAAATGACAACTGGTTGCCATTTGAATTAAATTCATTTTGTAGTTATTTTTAAATTAAGTCATGCTTAAAATTTAAATCTAATGCCCGTTTTTCATCAATTTTACACCGTACGTAGTTACGATTTTAACGTAATAACTTCTTAAAAAGATCGTAAAATCAAGGATATTTTATTATAGAACTTCTTAACTTCCAAATTTGTTCGATTGAGAACACTTAAAAACTTTTTAAACTTTTTACTAAAATTGTATAAACTTCGATTAGAAGAAAATAAAATGTGAGTTTAGTGCTCATTTAATTTTGTATTAATCATTGTTCGGAAAACATTACACATAATTTTTTTACCGAAACAAATTGTCAGGATTATACCGAAAATAAAAGTTTTTTTTTAATTATATGGAGAAGCAACTGAATCATTTTTTCAAACATTTAATTAAAAAATAATTTACATTTAGTTATTTTTTATCAGTAAATGAGGTCAGATTAAATTTTTACAACATTATAATAGGCAAACTGGTGTTCCTTGTGTTTTTTGTCTCGTAATATTTTACATTGATTTGTTTCTTATTCATCTCATGAAGCTCTCGAACAAAAATTTGTAATTGCGTATAATTTGAGACACAGAAATAAGTTTAATAAGCTTTTCGATAATAAGTAGTTTGGCGAGACGCTAACCGTATTAAAAAATATATTCGAACATGCTAAAGGTAATTCATGATTATTTTGCCATATGAATTTTCGTTAACAAATTTAAATGTTAAAATCAGTTCATTGAAAAGTTAATTTACTTTTTTTATGTCTCACGTAATACGTGTACCTATCCATTAATATTATAAGTAGATTAAGCCTTTTTTACTTTGAATTTATGGTATTATGTACGTATAGAATTACAACTTAAACATTTTGCAGTTTTGAAAGTAGGTAGACATTCTCCCTATGTAAAACCTACACTTTTTTTGTTTTTAAAAATTGATTATTCATATTTTCGAAAAGTATCTGTATCCAAGATGATCTAGATTCCGTAAGTATAATTTTTTTAAAAGACAAATACAAACTGCATTTCATTAATTCATTAAAATCTATATATTGTAGTATAGGCATTTTTTAATGTTTGCTTTTGTCTTGCAATTATTATTGCTGTTAATTATAAAAGTTCAGAGAGTTTAAGTTGTATACATTTATAAGTAGCATTAGATTTTACTGTTTCATTTATGTAGTTTTTTTACAAATAAATTTATATGCATCTATAAATTGTTTTATTCTTTATTACCAGTTTTTCAACTACACTGTTACAACCCAAACAACCCGCCTTAATTTGACATATTTATTGCTATAATTTCAAAACCCTATGTTGTGTATTTTTTTTTTATGGCGGATATTTGAATATCACAAAATAAAAAAAAAACGGTCGACAGAACTTCCCTCTCCCATAAAGTACAGCTTGTCAAATGCAGCTCTTTCGAAAAATTAAAAGACTGATTTTGCGAATTTTATGGTTTTTTATGACAACCATTCTTAGCTAAAATAAAAATATGTATATAATATTTGAGTAAAGGTAAAGAAACGTGATAACCGTTTGTTGGAAGTTAGTTTTTCTATTACAAAATTTTGTGTTGATATCATCCACAGTTTTGCAAGGACGCATATATCAGTTTGGATAGATGGATTTTAATCAGTAGCGGCTCGTGGTCTTTCCGTTAGGGGAGGCAACATTTTCGTTTCAAAATCAGCAGGTATTAATTAACATGTTCGCAATTACTTTTGTAAAAAGACAGATTCTTTATCCGTTTTTATGAAAACAATACAAATAACTCTGAGTCAGTAACATATTTCCACCCTTTTCGAATAAAAAACATTTAATTGCTTCTCACAAACCAACGAGAATGTGTAAAGACTACAGAATTTGCTTTATTAGCATAAATTTTAATTCATATGATCTAGGGCTGATTTAAATATATTAATCAATTAATTAATAAAGTTCTGCTCAAATCTGGGATGAGAGGTTCCTAAATCTTTGACGTACAACTGTTCGTCGTAAGAAAACCGTGCTTAAATATTTAAACTTTATAAGAAATTCTACAATATCGTTAGATTTGAGAGAGAATTAGAGATTCTTAGTTCCTATCAGCATTGCAAAACTGGCATTTTCATGGTCCTAATGTTTTCAAGTTAACTTAAAAGTTTTAATACATAACCTTGGCAATGCACATGCAGTGAACACCTTTTCTCGCGTCTAATTAATGCACAACTAAATGCACGCTAAATGCATTCAGCATCCCTGTTCAGCATTGTGCAGTTTCACTGTGAGATTAAAAAATTCGATCCGATTGGCTTAAGGACGGTAGGCGTTGGTGCCTCCGCTGGCGCTTTGATAAACCACTGCTGACTATTGTCTTTCTCAAAAACATATTAGCACCACTGACTAATCATACTGAAGATATCCGTCTATCTGAGGCATGCCTCCGTCTGAAGTTGGCCTACACGGTGATGATCAGCGCTTATTCCTGTCGAAAGCGCGTACTTCAAAATATGTTACCAAGACGCGTTTTAATAAATCACAGTGTTCAATAAAAGTTATTTGCTATATCTTTAAAATATATTTGAAGTTGAGAGGTATTAAAACAAAAACTAATAGTCAATTTTTCCAGGGGAGGCACTGCCTCCCCTGCCTCCCCTGACGAGCCGCCACTGACAGTAGCGGCTCGTGGTCTTTCCGTTAGGGGAGGCAACATTTTCGTTTCAAAATCAGCAGGTATTAATTAACATGTTCGCAATTACTTTTGTAAAAAGACAGATTCTTTATCCGTTTTTATGAAAACAATACAAATAACTCTGAGTCAGTAACATATTTCCACCCTTTTCGAATAAAAAACATTTAATTGCTTCTCACAAACCAACGAGAATGTGTAAAGACTACAGAATTTGCTTTATTAGCATAAATTTTAATTCATATGATCTAGGGCTGATTTAAATATATTAATCAATTAATTAATAAAGTTCTGCTCAAATCTGGGATGAGAGGTTCCTAAATCTTTGACGTACAACTGTTCGTCGTAAGAAAACCGTGCTTAAATATTTAAACTTTATAAGAAATTCTACAATATCGTTAGATTTGAGAGAGAATTAGAGATTCTTAGTTCCTATCAGCATTGCAAAACTGGCATTTTCATGGTCCTAATGTTTTCAAGTTAACTTAAAAGTTTTAATACATAACCTTGGCAATGCACATGCAGTGAACACCTTTTCTCGCGTCTAATTAATGCACAACTAAATGCACGCTAAATGCATTCAGCATCCCTGTTCAGCATTGTGCAGTTTCACTGTGAGATTAAAAAATTCGATCCGATTGGCTTAAGGACGGTAGGCGTTGGTGCCTCCGCTGGCGCTTTGATAAACCACTGCTGACTATTGTCTTTCTCAAAAACATATTAGCACCACTGACTAATCATACTGAAGATATCCGTCTATCTGAGGCATGCCTCCGTCTGAAGTTGGCCTACACGGTGATGATCAGCGCTTATTCCTGTCGAAAGCGCGTACTTCAAAATATGTTACCAAGACGCGTTTTAATAAATCACAGTGTTCAATAAAAGTTATTTGCTATATCTTTAAAATATATTTGAAGTTGAGAGGTATTAAAACAAAAACTAATAGTCAATTTTTCCAGGGGAGGCACTGCCTCCCCTGCCTCCCCTGACGAGCCGCCACTGATTTTAATACTACTATATTGTATTATTTTTATTCTTGAATAGTGATTTATAATAATCAATAAAATAATGAAACAATTTAGTCAGGTCTGCCGTATGTAATAACAATAACAGAGGTGCGACTGAAGACTGAACTGAAAATTATTTATGGTACTTGTAATTTAAGACAAATAACGATAACTCTTGTCAACCTGTACACGTGACAGTGAAATAGAAATTAAACTAAAACATGTTTTCTACGAATTGCAATAACCGGATCACAGTGCCGACGGTCCAGACTTTTTTTGATGCTCTGACTTCCGCTTATTAAATAAAATTCTACATTTTATTTTGATTTTCGATGTAGTAATTCACATTTGGTTAATCAGCATCCCTTAGCCTCCCCGTAACTGCGGCCTTGTCTAGGGGTTATGAAATATCGACAAAATATGAAAGTACCAAATTGCCCGACGGACTCTATTACTGTACGTCCTTAGGTTATCCTCGATAAGAAAAACAACTTGAAAGTGTTTATGTTTATACATCGGAAGAATGTCACGTAGAAATTAGTTTGATTTGAATGAGTTCATCCCCTCAAAACAGAGGATCAAAACTATTAAGTAGCAAGCTACAATCGACAAAATGTTCTTAAAATATTTACTATAGTACTTATTAAATCAAGACATTTGTCTTTTCACATTTTCGGGAAAATGGGGTGACTTGTTCTTAATTTGATCAATAAAAAATATGAATGCAATGATGAATCACAAGCACAAGTAAAAACTCATCATATTTTGTACATTTTGGGTAGAATTTATTAGGCATAATTTTGAGATAACGTTATCAATTTTTTGGGGGGAATAAACAGATTCATTAACAATTTCCCATGCTGACAATGACTTTAAAACGTCTACAAGATTTCAAAGCATTTAGTTTCCCAATTCTTGATTTATTCAATAAAATAAATTGACTGGTTTATTAATTTTTTTGACTCACCTTGTATAAGCAAATCAAAAAAATATAAATGCAATGATAAATTATAAGTATAGATTGATCACATATTGCACATTTTAGATAGGATTTATTCGGCAAAATTTTGAGATGACGTAATCAATTTTTTGGAGTTGATAAATGAATAAATTTTAATTAAAAAGTTACCATGCTTACATAATTTCAAAACGTCTGCAAGATTTTAAAGTATTTAGTTTTGCAATTCTTGATTTAAACAATAAAATAAATTGACTTAGCAAAATTTTGAGCGACGTCATAATTTTTTTAGAGAGGACAAGCAAATACATTTTGACCAAAAATTTACCATGCTTATGATAATTTTAAAAGATCTCTAAGGTTTCAAAGCATTCGATCTAGTAGTTCTTGATTAAATTAATAAAATAAATTCACGCATTCATTAATTTTTTTTAGACACCCTGTATAAGCAAATCCAAAAAATATGAATGGAATGATAAATCATAAGATTCACAAGTACAAACTCATCATATCTTCTATATTTTAGATTGGATTTATTCGGAAAAATTTAGAGCTGATGTCATCAATTTTTTGAAGGGGATAAGTAAATATATGTTGTTTAAAAATTTGTGGGTATTGTTGGTGATTTAAAAGCGACGGTACGGTTTTGAGATTTTATTTCGTTGTTTACTGTTCGAGGGTGCCAGGGAGAAGAAGGAAGGGTGTTTAAAATGGTACACATGTAAGCTCGGATTTGAAGAGGTGGAAGTAGGTAAAGAAGGGTTTAGAAAGTTCCAGAAGCGAAAAGAGAAAGTATGAAGAAGTGTAGGGCAGGTAGACGAAGGATAGGAAATATTTACATTTATACAAATATTACAAATGCCCTCAGGTAGAACACCTAATTTTGTGGGAACGGTTGTTCCTACAGTACCCCCCTGCTAGTGTTTTTTTTTTATGAAAAACCGCTTTGCAGGCGCTCAGGGAAGCGCACCCGTCTTCCTGACCTCGTGGTCCTCGTCGTTGTGGAAGCTGGCATCTCGTCGTCGTCGTGGGGTTGATCTGCGAAGGGCGCTGGTTCGTCTGTTGTGGGCGTCGTCCTCGTAGTGTCGCGGCCAAACTCTGACGTGGGCGTGTCGTCACTGAGTATGTACGCGGGTTTGAGCCGATCTATTGAAACGGTGACATCTCGACCTTTGATGTTGACGACGAACGTTTTCGCCGATCGCCTTACGACTCTGTACGGACCGTCGTATGGCTGTTGAAGCGGCTGCTTGGGACCGTCGTGGCGTACAAAAACTTGTTCGGACGTGGCGAGATCTTTAAAAATGAAGGTCTTCTTTGCTCCATGTCGTGTTCCCTCACATGGCTTCAAGTTACGCACGTGTTGACGTAACTCTTTGACGAAGTTTGGGGTGCTGTTGTCTGCGCTGTTTTCGTCGCGTGGGATGCCTAGGAATTCACCGGGCAGGCGGAGAGGTTGGCCATATACGAGCTCCGCGGAGGAACCCTGGAAGTCTTCTTTCCATGCTGCTCGAATGCCGAGCATGACGGTGGATAGGGCTTCAGTCCAGCGATTATTCTGGTGGCACATGATTGCCGCTTTTAACTGTCGGTGTAGGCGTTCAACCATTCCGTTGGCTGAGGGGTGGTACGCTGTAGTTCTCAAATGAGTGGTTCCTAATAAACAATTTAGTTGTTTAAATAGGTACGACTCGAATTGTCTACCTTGGTCGGTGGTTACTCGTAGCGGAGTGCCGAATCGTGCGATCCATGTGTCGTAAAAAGCTCGTGCCACGGTTGCTGCTTCCTGGTCGCTAATGGGTACGGCTTCTGGCCAGCGGGTGTACCGATCTACCATGGTAAGGCAGTAACGATAACCCTCTGAGTGTGGCATAATTACTATGTCCAAGTGCACGTGCTCAAACCTCGCTGATGGTGGCGAGAATGTACCGATGGGCGAAGAGACATGGCGTGAGATTTTCGAACGCTGACATTCTACGCAGTTGCGGGCCCATTCTCGACAATCTGATTTGACCGATGGCCAGACGTAACGTTGCGTCACCAGTTTTACGGTGGCTTTAACGCCTGGATGGGATAGACGATGAATCGACTCGGTATTCTTCTTCTGAAAGGCATACGTGATTGGCTTGTGGTCTGTGTAGATGGTGAAAGACCGCGCCTCTACCATATGCCTAAAATGTTTGACTGCGAGATAAATGGCTAGTAGTTCTCGATCATAAGCCCCGTAGTTTGACTCGGTGGGACTCAGTTTTTTTGGAAAAGAAGTCCAACGGTTGCCAGTGACCGTCGACCTTCTGCTGGAGGACTGCTCCGACGGCGAAATCTGACGCGTCCGAAAAAATAGCTAATGGTGCGTTTGGCTCGGGATGTGCCAATAATGTGGCTCCGGCGAGGCTCTCCTTGCACGCCTCGAATGCGGCCACCGTTGCTGGTGTCCAGTTGACCGGAGTTTTTCCTTTGACGTTGCCCTGGAGGAGGTCGTTCAAAGGTGCTTGCGTCTCTGCCGCCTTAGGTAGGAATCTTCTGAAAAAATTCAACATACCCAAGAACTGACGCAACTTTTTTATTGTATTTGGCTGCGGGAAGCTGCGGATTGCTTCGACCTTTTCTGGAAGTGGACGTGTACCTGCGCCGGAAACGAGATATCCTAAAAATTTGACCTCTGGCTGGCCGAAGACGCATTTCATGGGATTGATAACGACGCCGTACTCTCTCAAACGCTGAAACACAGTTTCCAAGTGCTGGAGGTGTTCTTCTGGTGATGCGGATGCGACGAGGATGTCGTCGATGTATGCATAGCAAAAATCGAGACCCTGCAACACCTCGTCCATGAATCGCTGGAACGTCTGCGCTGCGTTACGTAAGCCGAACGTCATGAATTGAAATTCAAACAAGCCGAATGGGGTGGTAATGGCAGTCTTCGGAACGTCTTCTTCTGCGACCGGGATCTGGTTGAATGCGCGTACCAGATCGATCGTTGAAAATATGATTTTGCCGTGTAAGGATTGCGCAAAATCTTGGATGTGCCTCACCGGGTACCTGTCGGGGCAGGTTCTCGCGTTGAGGGCACGATAATCTCCGCATGGCCTCCATTCGTCGCCCTTTTTGGGCACCATGTGAAGCGGTGAAGACCATGAACTTTGGGAAGGGCGGGCGATTCCTAGCTGGACCATGGCGTCGAATTCTTTTCTTGCTGCCTGGAGTCGGTCGGGCGCGAGTCTTCGGGGACGTTGCGCAATGGGAGGGCCCGGCGTGGTTACGATGTGGTGGCGGGTGGAATGTTTCACCGCCTTAGGGGTTCCGTCTGGACGTGTGACATCGGGAAACCGTTGGAGGAGTTCGTGGAACGGTGAACTTCCGGCGATGGTTTTTACGGACGGGATCTCACACTCAGTCACCTCTCCGATGGAAGTGAGTTGGGTAATTTGATCGTGTAGTCGCTGGTTTCTTATGTCCACCAGGAGTCCGTAGTGAGCCAGGAAGTCGGCTCCGATAATGGGTTTCACCACGTCCGCGACAACAAATCTCCACGTAAAATCGCGTCGTAAGCCTAAATTCAACGACAACGTGATTGTTCCGTACGTTGCGATGACGGTGCCGTTTGCCGCGGAAAGTTCATATGCGGACTTCGTACGCGGTTTTGGTAGCAGGGCATGCGGGAACACACACAGATCGGCGCCGGTGTCGATGAGGAATTTTTTGCCTGTTGTCCTCTCGGTGACGAATAAACGGCTCGATGTTGTTGTAGGGGTGGTGGGGCAGGCGTCAATGGCCGTCTTTAACGACTGCCCTCGGCGTTTCCCGCCGGTAGGGAACTGTACCTACACGGCTTGTCGCATCTTCTTGATTTGTCGCCGAAACGCCAGTGGTACCAGCAAATACCGCTGTCGCCTTTTATTCGATCACGGGATCCCGATCGCGAACGCGAACGCGATGCTGGTGATGTGCCTGGCCGCGAGTCCGGTCGCGAACGGTCTTGAGGCTGCGATATTGGGGAGATCTCAATTGCAGCAAACTTTTGCAAGACGGCCGCCAAGGTGCGTTCCACTCCGTCTATCCTCGATTGCTCCTGGGTCGATGACGGGGTTGCGGGTGATATGGTTGTCTCGGCTATTTTACCCAGGTTACCATAAGCTTCCGCAACGGAGTCCGCGATCTCGGCTCTCTTATCCAGCGTGAGGTCCTTGTGCGCGGCCAGCAGCGCTTGCATGTGTGTGGGCAAGCGTCTCATCCACAGCGTCTGTAGGACCTCTTCTGGGAACTCCGTCCCGGCGAGAACTCGTAGGTGGCGGAGGAACTGTGTGGGTTTGCGGTCCCCAAGTGGACCGTTCTCCAGGAGGCGGCGCGTGTTTTCTTCCTTTGATGGCCCCATCCGTTTGATTAATTCGCGTTTTAGCAGTTCGTATGTCCGCTCACTTTTGGGCTTTAGGAGTACATCGCGTATCTCGACCGCGTATTTCGCATCCAGGGCGCCGACCGCGTAACCAAATTTAGTGCTTTCTTGCGTAATGCCCGACGCTTCAAAACCACTTTCAAGTAACAGGAACCATAATTCCGGATCCTGGGGCAAAAACGGTGGAACTTTTACGGCAACGCGATCGACTGACGGGCTATTTGTATCGTTTGGCGCCATTGTTTTTGATTTTCTCTCGAAATTCCGCACTCTACTCGTCGCGATCACTGGTAATACTCACGTTTTTTTCTTCTTTCAATCACGTCGGGGTCACCAGTTGTGGGTATTGTTGGTGATTTAAAAGCGACGGTACGGTTTTGAGATTTTATTTCGTTGTTTACTGTTCGAGGGTGCCAGGGAGAAGAAGGAAGGGTGTTTAAAATGGTACACATGTAAGCTCGGATTTGAAGAGGTGGAAGTAGGTAAAGAAGGGTTTAGAAAGTTCCAGAAGCGAAAAGAGAAAGTATGAAGAAGTGTAGGGCAGGTAGACGAAGGATAGGAAATATTTACATTTATACAAATATTACAAATGCCCTCAGGTAGAACATCTGATTTTGTGGGAACGGTTGTTCCTACAAATTTATCATGACTTAAACATCTGCAAGATTTCAAAGCATTCAGTTTTGTAGATTCAAAATTAAATTGCAAAATGTTGTTTTATAATTTTGATTTTTTTCCCAAAAATCTGGACGTTCCGGGTAAAAACTCAACACGGAGTCATAAACTATTTACTATGTACAATTTTGAATTGACGTCATCACGTTATTGGTGGGGATGATTAGACAAATTTTGGTTAGCGTTTTACCATCTACATGATATTCCTAATATAAATACAAAATTTGACAACAATTGGCCCAGTACTTTCGGAGATTATCTATTTAATAAAAATCCAGGACGGCAGACACACAGACAGACAGACAGACGGACAGATAGACGGATCGGGAGACTGATTTCTTCGTACTCTAGGTTTAGAAAACGTAAAAGTAGAGGGCCGGCGGGAAGTAAAAATGAAAGAACAATCTTAATTACCTAACTGGGTGCAATTACACTAGTTATTTATATATCAAGCGCCGAAAATGAGACTTTGCGAAGCTCGAGCGCCACATTTTTTCCCAAAAATCTGGACGTTCCGGCTAAAAACTCAACACGGCGTCATAAACTATTTACTATGTACAATTTTTAATTGACGTCATCACGTTATTGGTGGGGATAATTAGACAAATTTTGGTTAGCGTTTTACCATCTACATGATATTCCTAAAATAAATACAAAATTTGACAACAATCGGCCCAGTACTTTCGGAGATTATCTGTTTAATAAAAATCCAGGACGGCAGACAGACAGACAGACAGACAGACCGACAGATAGACGGATCGGGAGACTGATTTCTTCGTACTATAGGTTTAGAAAACGTAAAAGTAGAGGGCCGGCGGGAAGTAAAAATGAAAGAACAATCTTCATTACGTAACTGTGTGCAAGTACACTAGTTATTTATATATCAAGCGCCGAAAATGAGACTTTGCGAAGCTCGAGCGCCACAAAAGCGCGAGGGATGCAAAGCCATTTCGACGTGAGATATATACAACATTTTTTGTTCTGCTTTTTATTAAAAAAAATATTACGATGGTGTGGCAATAAAATAACGTAACAACAAACTGAAATGACGAGTGATCAAGCAAAGACTGACTCGGTAAGACAAATCAGAGATCACGATTTGGAAATCAAAGGTTCTGATTTTTGACGTTTCGTTGCTCGACGTTTCGCGAACCGCAACACATACTCAGCTTCACATCGCAAAGTCTGTTACATAATTGACCGTATCTTCTACCAGTCTTGTGTAGCGCCGGATCACACACTGGGGTAGGTACCCCAGCGATAATCTAAAGAAAACTGTGAGAAACGCGAACTAAAATCCCCCCCTACTAACATTGCCGAAATTGACCGGTGGATCTCAACTCGTTCATTTGTTAAGATTGGCAAAAAAAAACCGATAAGCGCTAATTTGAAAACAAATTTGAAAAAAAAAAAACGTCCGCCTCAACAGCTCCGGTATATCTAACTGTATTAATCTGAAATTTGTCCCCCAAGTTGCAACTATGATTAAATAAAGTACTGGACTGCAAAACTAACAAGTTTCTGTTGTGCCAAATTGTATCAAGAGATATTTTTAAATAAGACAGAAGTTACATACATATAGAGTTACATCTTTTTTTCGAGTCCACGAGAGTATGCGTTTCAACACAAATTTTCGAGGTTTTCTTCTGTCAAAATAGACTAACGTTTAGGTCAATTTAAATGCTATAAATGAAATTTTAGCAATCTCGAATGAGAAATTAAGAAATGTGATAATGTAATATTTAAGTAAAAACATCCAGAAACCTTAGTTATAGCTTGATAAATAAAGAGTGAAGCTTGAACAAGTAAATTTCGTAACATATGATTTTTATAAACAATTTCATGTCTGTTAAATTATATTAGAACTAGGAAGAGTTACAAATCTTAACATGAACTGTGTGACGTCAGTTGCCTTTTTTTTATTTGCGTAGAAGTCATTTTAGTTCATCTGAGTTGTATATACTTTTTTGGTGTAGTTTGGCGGTTCTTATTATGTTTTGTGCTACCTACTCTATTAAGTGTATTATGATATGTAAATATTAAAAAATTAGTGTCACTTCCCAACTAGGTCGGCTTTTCATTTATTTTACTACAACAACGAAGTGTTTTGTGCAAACATGCATTTCCAAGTTGTGGGTGTCTATTGGCACGAAGCAGCAAATTATTCTTTCACGTTTGCATAATTCCAGGCGCGTATTGTTTGAGAACAAAATGTCGAGCAGGATGGTAGATGGCCCGCGGCCGCTTGTTAGTATTCTGACATCGTAGATGAGGCGGCAGCCACAGCGTTTGTTCACGCTCTTCTCTTCTGAATACCTCCTCACGAACATCCCTATTCAAGCAAGAGCTCGGGGTGAAGAATCACCCCCAGATAACAAAAACACCAGATACCAGTAATTATGCAAATTTTATTAAGTTGTTGGAGACGACACTGCCAGATGGACCTTTATGTCTCCAGAGAACTTCCAGAAACTTTGGCGCTAACTGGAGACGTGAATGTTGTGACAGGAAGGTAATCCCATGATGGACCTGACCTGACTCTCAGTGGAATGTATTGTTAAGCACTTTGCTGCGTTAATAGAGATCTGCTGTAATACTTCGTATAATAGACATTTTTTGTATACGGAATTATTCATGGAAAGCTCCACGCCTAAAAAATTCAAGATGCAACCAGAAATACAATTTCAAAACCATCTTTGATATTTTGTACCATTTTCTAAAAAAGTAAATTGTGAATTTGTTTGTTTTACTTAACTATCAAAACCAAAGATGTTTTACTTAAAAAATTATTGATGTGTTAATTAATTATGCATAGATAAAATATTGCAACACAGATGTTAAAAATCACCCTATTGCATTTTTGTTGCGCATTACAGACGACAGATAAACTGACGGAAACGTGAGACCTGTTTTTTCATGCGGGTTTTACAATCTTATAATTAATAATCCTTTAAAATCATAAAAATGGCTTGGGAAATCTTTCAGTAGCAGTGCGTTCCACTGGTATAATGCTACATTCGACATGCATTACTGGTTTAACAAAAAGAAAACGACGTAAAGAACTAACAAAGCTTTCAACTTTCATAAATATTCCCGAATGTCCTCTTTTGAAAGAAATGAGCAGTTCAGAAATGTACGATTTGGCGGAGCATGTAAGAAATTTCCATTACATTTCTGGCAGAGTTTGTAGCTTGAACTCGGTAATACATTGTAGACTGTTGGTCTATATATAACATATAAATTAATTTAATATTTTTTAACATTTACTTGACCTGAATGCTAAAATAACCAGAATTTGAGTTTTTGGAGATATGTGTTTTGTGAGATATGCGATGTCTAGTTTAATTAAATTAGGGTAGTTTCCATGTGAATAATCCAGTCGCAAAAAAAATCAAAAGACACTGTATCGGGGGTGAATATTGTTGTTAGCAGAGTGTTGGCATTTCGTCTCGAATATATTTTTCGGTGATGTGAACGCTTAGGGCCGGATTGTATCCATTTCTGGAGCCGCTGTGGCGCCGGCACAGACTCCTGCACCACCAATCGATTAAATCATTGCAGTAGTTCCCTGTGGCACTTGCTCAAATTTTTCGTCTTGTTCTTAAGTTTGTGTTAAATTTAAATTTCAAGTTAAGAACGATTTCTATTGACTGTTTTTTACATACAAACAGTTGTTTATATATATTATTTGGATATGAAATCCAGAAACCTGTCATCGACATAAATCGCGGAGAGGTTGGGTATCTCTGCTTATGACAACCATCTGCATAAACGTTTTCGTTTTGTGTTCGAATAAATTTTCTTGAACGTATGCTTTCTATTTTTGATTTATCCTTTGTATGTATTTTTTACAGACAAATTGCGACATTCTCTGTTAAGAAATATTTGCGCTTAGATCGTTTGGTTCTTTGGAAAATATTTAACTGTAGACAATTATTGTATTTTGATTGAATTATCGGTAAGTCTGGAAGTAAGAACTGATTCCTACATTTTTCACTCATAAAAATATGAAAGAAATTTTATGGCTTTCTAAATAAATGTAAGTTGTGTGTCTGATCGTTAGTTGGTGACTCAAAACTCGCTCGTGCGTTTGTACACGTTTTTAGTAGTAAACAGAAATAATTATCTACTAAATAATCTTTAATGTTCAGTCTTGCACACTATAGAAATGAAGTTATAAATTAAAATAACAGTTAGCAGAAAATTGTAAACAGACACGAAGACTCATTTCTTACAGTAAGGCAAGTTGGGGTAGGTTCTGATTTCATTTCTAAATGGTCGTTACCGTTGACTGTTGTTGGATCGTTTTCCTTGAATTCGTTAGTTTTTTCGAAAGTAATTTGAGGGCGAGAAATGTCCTGGTTGCTGTGCAAGGTTTCGTTTTTCGTCATGAAACAGCTAAATAGTTAAATATAAACTATTAAATGATACGTTAAAAACATGTTGAGGTAAAATTTAGTATTCTTGAATAGTGTTGTGCTGCGAAAAGTAAACCGCAACCGCACTTTTAAAAGTTACTTTTTTATAAACTTCAAAGCGGATCCATAAACCACAAGTACAAGAATATCTCATTTTATAAAATTTAAATAGCATTTACTATGCAAAATTTTGAGGTGACCCCATCAAATTGTTGCTGAAGATGATTAGTTTTCCTATACACAAGATATTCATAAAATCGAAACATTCACATCAGGAGTTTCGTTGGGAGACTTAATTTATTTAATTGGAATTTTTAATTAAAAACATACGAGAATGTTTTCGCCGTTTCGAATATGTTCTTTTGTTCGTAAATCAATACCGAGGAAAAAATAAAATAAACATAATTAAGGGCGATTTAAAAAGAAAACATTAAACATTGTAAATGTTTCAATATCTGAAATTTAGTAACGATTTTTGCGAAGTACAAACTTTGATCTCAATAATTAAATGGTGGGTAGTCAAGGAGGTTTTCAATTAAATTAACTGTTCGCGTCGCCCTTAGCATTAAATGGACGTTCTTGCAAAGAGGCGGACTGAAAGAATTTAATTTTGTTAACTTATTAAATAATTGTAAGTACCTATTCGGTAAATTAATTTTATTAATTTCATCATTTTAACTTAGGAACAAAGCCGTCCATTTTTAGAATTAATTATTCTTTGTTTGAATAATGCTTAAAATAACTTGGAAATATTTAGTATATACACTGACAACTGTTTAATGGCGATAAACTAAAAAACCAGTGGATGACACTTTGCAGTTCTTAAGAAAATATACTTATGTAGAAAGCGGTTTCAGCTTTCGAAGAAAGCTCGTTCAGTTACATACGCGGATAAGCGATCTCGCAGGGGAGACAGCATCAAAGGAAAAACGACAAGTCAATATCTAAAATAGCTTGTTCTAGAATTTAATTTTGCGACGTTAATTTATTTTTCAAAAAGACTAAACAACTGCAAAAAAATGCAAAAAATGTGACAATAACATAAGAGAAAGTGGTTTATTCAACTTTAATTACTTTTTGGTTGGAATGCGTCAGATTTTACATATTATGTTTCTCTTGTCTCTGAAATAGATAAATACCCCTTGCATGTTGCATGTGAGGACAATAAAGACTCGTTTAATGACGTTTTTATAATCATGTCATTAATTTTTGAGATCGATTGTGATATGAACAATAGCAGCATTACTTACACAATGTTGTTTAGTATATTTTTCCATTATTTATATGAATATTTTTGACTTTATAGTAACAATGATGATAATGGTAATAGCAATAATATAAATCAATTTAAGCGTTAATACTCTCAGAAAATATTTTTTTCATGTTAATCTTTTGATGGTTATCGGTCGGGGAGTAGCAGGTTTTCAGTTACTAGAGAAGTAAGTAAAGTTATTTCAGAATAGAACTTTAGCGTTAACGTATGTTATGAATTCAAATATAATAAAATTTGAATTTTAAGAAGTTGTTATAGGCAACCAGTTTTATAGAAACCGTTGTAGCTAGTTATCTATATACATTTCCGAAAATTATTTTCACGAGGGCAGTAACTTTTATTTTTAAAATTTGATTCAGATTTTAAAAATGTTAAGACTTTACATAATTCTGCGCGAACGAGCACGACCCTTTTCTCCAGTGGATTCCCCTCTGCGTTTTCCTTCATGTCGCACTTGACTGTGTATGCATACATTGTCATCTGCTTACAGCAAATGATTGTAAATTGCCCATAAACCAACTGAAATGTACTGAAATAACAGTTTTATACTGCATTCTGGCTGACATTTAGTGTTGTTGGCTTGTAGACAAATTCTTTTCCATATATTTTACAACACTGCTACTGCTACAAAAAAAAGATCCTCAAAAACTGAATTTCATGGAAATATGAACATTTTTCAGTTTTTAATAATAACAATAGCCCGCTTTTACGAAAAATTGTTTGCGCGAGGCGTATTTTTACAGGAAAAATGTTACCATCTCCAGAAAATTTTACCTTCCATTTTTCATCGTGGAACTATTAGCGCAATCTGCCGCCCCCAAGCTTAATATAAGGTGGCTCCTATTTGACAGAGATTGAGTTCAGGGGTTGTAGTAATGACTGGCCGCGTATGCCGACGCTATTGATTCAACAATTATTAATTGATACCTCTTGGACGGCTGCAAGCTCTCTGTTGTTTCGACACAAACGCCGCCTCCAGATCATCGTCTAGAAATTGGATCATCCATTACGAGGGCAATTCATATAACGCGTTGCTACGGAGGTTTTGATGAACGATAGACAGATAAAGCCATTTTTTCACATGTATTTGTTATCCGGAAAGTTCTCTGTTATGGAGACAGTGTATAATGGGTGAATTGTGCACATAATTTATTGAAAAAATACTTCAGAGAGGAGTCATTTAGAAATACTTAGGTGTATTACTTTTGAACTTTTTATAGTACGATATTTTCAAAATAACCTTAATTTAGTGACTTTTCTTCTCATATCAGTTTACGCATACATTGTAACACCGACTACTTGAATAGGATATTTGAGTGTTGTGCTAGTTTTAGACAGAAATACTCGTATGGATTTAATTTTTTTTCTCAAAATTTAAGTTTTGAGATCTTTTAAGTTTTTTTGTTTTTTTGTTTCTGAAAATTCTAACAATGAAATGATTAAATATTTACCAAAAAAGCATACTGTATATTGTGTTCAGAAGATACGGAATTAATTATTTGAACATTTGAACAAAATAATTTCACTACATGTTTAAACAGATGGATTTATTTTTATATCTTCGTTTTGTTATGACGTCATCGCCAAATTCTTATACTTTTTTGTCTTATTCGTAGACATTGAACAAAATTTTGTGTTGAGACTAAACAAATGCGTAAAATTGTGAAAAAGAAAACATACAAATATAAAATAAACCTATTCTTTAAATAGGAGTATATAATTATTAAAATTTTTTTTAAAGAATTAACAGTGATTGGAGACTGAGGAAACACTTTATGATCAATTTGGATTTTTTGGGATGATAAATCTTATTACTCACTTATCTGTTGCTTATCACTTGTCTAAAAGCATGATTCGTTTTTCATATAACTTATCTGCAAGTCTAATAGCGAAAAACAAATTTTCCAGCAATTAAAATTTCCAAGAGATAAACTAAACGATATAAGTTTAATCCACTGTCGCTAGAAAACGCATTATTTACGTCTATGTGAGATTTAGCAACATCAAGCCAGTGTGCCGCTTCAACAAAATATCAAGATACTATTGGTGATTAATACATACACCTTTCTTTTTTGAAAATACTATATAAACGTGAAGGAGCTAAATGTAATTCAGTAAAATATCAATAATGTTTTGCACTCCGAGTTGTTGTTGCCATTCTCATTTTACACGCATAAGGGAGTGTAACATCATTAAAACATCGCCTCAATGCAGTTCCTCTAGAGAAGATTGTGTTATAATTGTCAATCCTCAGTCTGGTATGGTACTTGATGCATCCTGCTATGAAGTGAAACTAAAGTGTTATACAGGGTGTTCGTCGCAACTTTGGTATTTAGAATGTTCACAAAATGGCAACTTTTTCATTGTCAACGTGGGAAATGAGTGAGTAAAATTTCGTTGACACGTATATTTAATTCACAAATTTAATTCGAAATCTCTTGTAAGTGATATTTTGTTGACGTTTGATGTGTCTTTTCCGTTATTTAAGTATATTCATGTGTTTATTCCTTATAGGAAAGTCCTGGATATCCAAGGTGGTGTCAAAAGTTCCGCCAATTTGATAACTTATGAAAAACATGGTGGCGATAATCAACAATGGCTTATCGATCATTGTGACAACACCATCTCCAATCCATGCGATGATTTGGTTGTTGACGTATTCGAGCAACGCTTTTGTTGTGGAACGAATGTGATTGCTTACACAAAACATGGAGGACCCAATCAAAAGTTTTGTCTTCAGTATGTTTGACCTAAAATGGTAAAAAACAACAATCAAGCTGTGTAATTGGCGACTCCACATTTTGTCTGCCTTACATATCTATATTGTACTTTCATTACTTTTCTATTAAAACAGAAAACAAGTTTTGAAATTTACTTCAATTTTTCATTTCTCATTTGTTCCTTTATGAAGCATGTGTTGAAGAATGTGCTAGCTTGGCACAAATTCTAATCGTTTCTTAAACCTTACTAAAGAAAGAGTTTCAATTTTAATCTATGATTATTTCATTGCTCCTACTAAAAATGGTTGTTATTATTTTCCAAAAATTCGTTATTTTATAAGACTAATTTGAGAAATTTGCTATATCGCTTCAAAAAAAAAGTAAAAAAACTTGTTCATATAAAAAATATTTATAGTTTCAAAATTTGTCTTGTATTTTATGTTTAAAAAGAATTGACACTGATTGCAGAGGTGACGAACGCATTGTGTAAATAACGTTATAGATTTTTTTTATAATTTACCAATGACATCATACACTCGTTCTTACTAGTTGGGCTTCTTGGGATAATAAATGTTGATTATTTACATATCACTTACCACTTATTTACAGAGCATGGATGCGTTGCTTATGTAAATTATCTATAATGCGATAATTTAAAACAAAAATCATAGAAATTAAAATTTCCAAGAGACACTATGATCTGTCAATTATAAGTAAACGTCTCATGTTTATACACTATTTCAAGGAAGCGCATGATTTAGGTGCACATAATGTTTAACCACATCATGCAGTTGTACCGCTTCCACAAAATATTAGCTTACTATCGGTGTTTAAACATTCATCTTTCTTTTACAAATCCTATATAAACGTGGTGAAACTATAAAACAATTCAGTTAAATATCAATAATGGAGTGTAGTCCAAGTTGCCATTGCCATCCTAATTTGGAACGCATAAGAGAGTGTAACATCGTTAAAAGACTACCTCTTTGCAATCCCCAAATACAGAATGGTGTTATGATCGTCAATCCTACATCTGGCATGGTACTCGATGCATCGTGCCATGAAGTGAAACTGCAATGTTATACAGGAAATACATCACAACTGTGGCATTTGGAATGTACACGAAATGGCAACTTTTTCATTATTAACATCGGAAATGGGTGAGCATAACTATTGTTATACACAGTGTCTATAAATGATTCTAGTGTCAACGGCTCTGGAATATCTTTTGTTAATAATTTTCCCGCCTTGTTTATCTAATTTACTCTAATTATGTGATGATTGGGTTGTATTATTTATATGTATGTTAAGTGGTTTTGCAACAAGTGATGCTAAAGTCTCATTTTAAACGATGGCTGTAGTTAAGCACATATATTGTGGTATTATATGTATGTATTTTCACTACCTTTTTACATTTTTTAAATATATTTACATATTTATTCTTTCTAGGAAAGTCTTGAGTATTGAAGGTGGTGTTACAAGTTCGGCCAACTTGATAACCTCTGAAAAACATGGCGGTGTTAATCAGCAATGGTCTATCAACCACTGTGACAACACTATCGTCAATTCATGCAGCAATTTGGTTATCGACATAAAGGAGGAATGTTTTTGTCCTGGCACAAATTTGATAGCTTTCCCAAAACATGGAAGAGACAATCAAAAGTTTTGTCTTCAGTATGCTTAACCTCAAACAGCAATAATGTTTAGAGGCATGGATCAAAATAAAACTGTGTAACTGCTTGATTTTACATGGATTTTATTGTATTGTATGGACTTTTTACTAAATTAGAAAACAGCGCCTAAAATCTGCTTTACTAACTATTTCTTATTTGTTAAATCAATTTTTTGGTAAATTATATAATCATTTGTTTTAGGAAACAATTTTGAAGTATTTGATTCTTCGGAAAAATTAAAAAACTAGGCACATATTCAAATTGTATCTTACATCTCATTAAAGAAACAGCTTTAATTCTTTTATTATTAATTTACTCCATCAACAAATATTGTGTGATTACTAGCATTTAATCTTTTTAGTTGAGATTCTGCGTTAATTCTAAAAATGTTCATTGATTTATACTTTTGACTATGAGGCAGCTTACCGTAAAGCAATCACTATTAATTAGTGCTACTAGAAAAAATTGGTTGAAGATTATTTCTACATAACTAGCGGCATAAATAACATCCTCGCACTCCTTGTGCCAAAAATTTGCGCTCCAAAGTGTGGACAATGTAAAAGGAGTATATTGTTGTATAGCATTTAAATCATTTTAAAATATAAATTTTTGAGATGATGTTATCAAATTCTTGGTGGAGACAATTCGCCAAATTTTGATTAGCGTTAACTGTCTACGTGATATTCCTGACATACATACAAAATTTGACAATAATCGGTCTAGTATTTCGGAGATTACGTGTCTAATAGAAATCTACACAGACACCAGACAGACAATCGAAGATCACTTTTTTCGTACTCTTGGGGTCATGAATTCTCGAGAAAACATAAAAGTGACAAGTCGCCCTATGGACTCGATTACTATATGTACTTCCTTAACTTACGCTGGCTCGAAGTAAAAAAATTGTTGAAGGTTATTATATCAATTTAGGAGCTGCTAAGATAATTGTAGGCAAATGTGATATCCTCTAAGAAAAGAGAGGGTGGGTGGGCGGGGCTAGTACCTGCTAAGATAAGGCTGATTTTGTCAAATGACATACACTCTAAGAAAAGAGAGGGTGGATGGGCGGGGCTAGTACCTGCTAAGGTAAGATTGATTTTGGCAAATGAGATCCCTCTAAGAAAATAGAGGGTGGGTGGGCGGGATTAGTACCTCCTAAATTGAGATTGATTTTGGCAAATGACATACACGCTAAGATTATAGAGGGCGGGAGAGCCGGGCTAGTATCTGCTAAAATAAGACTCAAATTCAGTACACTGTATCAAGGAAACGCACGATTTAGGTGCACATAATGTTTAAAGACATCATGCAGTTGTGCCGCTTCCACAAAATATTAGCTTACTATCGGTATCGGTGTATAAACATTTATCTTTGTTTTGCAAATCCTATACAAACGTGGTGAAACTGTAAAATAATTCAGTTAAAAATCAATAAGTGTACTCCAAATTGACATTGCCATCCTAATTTGGTACGCATAAGAGAGTGTAACATCGTCAAAAGACTAGTAGTATTAATTTATTATTTGCCTTACAGGCTTAATAATATTCCCAGTAGGGGAACAAATTAACTTAATCTTCATCAGATAAATCAATAACAATAAAAATAAATAAATTAAAATAAAATAAAATAAAAATTCGAGTGTTATATAATAAATATTCTATTCTTTCTGCTTGCCCACCCCTTGCCATAGTTCCCTTATCTTGCATACTTCTTTCATCCAGTCCAGTCCTCTTCCATCCTCGTTTAGCACTTCTTCCCTACTTTCCTCCGATTGTCTCAATCCTCCACATCCTTCCAGCATATGCTCTATTGTTTCTCCCTCTCTTCAACATATCCTACACCTTCTGTCAGTTTCATCCATCCAAAAATTATTCTCTTTCTCTTCATTTCCACACCTAAATCTCGCCATCATTCTTTTCTCCTTTATACTCTCTCTCTCTCTGTGTGTACTTTGGTACTTCATCCTTTACTATTTTTCTATAGTCTGCATTATATCTAGACTCCGATATTCTCGATGTACGTTCTTGCTTATCTATATCCTTGTCTCTTACACTCAGTTCTTCTTTCATACTCCTTCCCATTTCTCTCATTCTCTCTATTTCTTCACATGCATATCCCTTTCCTTCATAATACTTGTCTCTTTCGTTCCAAACATGTTTTCCCCCTTCCTTTTTTATTTCTTTCCAACATTCTTGCAATATCTTGCAATCGCCTCTCTCACTGAACTTCTCTTCAAATCCAACCGCCCTTTTACCCGCGTCCACTCTCATTTTCTCCCTTTTTGTTTCTTCTCTCACTATATACCCCGGCGTATACTTTTCCAATCCCAATGTCCATTTCAAGTATTTTTCTTGCACTCTCTCTATTTCTTCATATTCCCTCCATCCCCAAATCTCAGTTCCGTACATAAATACACTTTTGATCAAACTGTCAAACATCATCATTCTTCTCTTATAATCATGTCCAAATTTTCTCTCTCCTATTCCCCATACTATTCCTATCACTTTGTTCGCTTTTTAGATCATTTCTTGAATATGCGCTCTATCTGAGTTATTGCTCTATCTGAGTTATTGCTCTTTAATGTATATCGTAAGTACTGGAATTCTTTCACCTGTTCAATGTTCTTCCCTTTCCATGCCCACTCTTTCTTCTCCTTTCTTACTTTCTTCCCAAACACCACCATTTTTGTTTTTTCCACATTCATTTCCAATTCCTTTTTTTTTACATACTTCTTCAAACTTTTAATCATTGTTCTCATTTCTTCTCTTTTCTTTGCCACAATCACCAAATCATCTGCGTACGCCAGCGACCACACTTTCTCTTTGCCGACTACCACCCCTCCTGTCTGTGCTTTTCTGAACAATTCATTTATATCTCCTAGATAAGCTGCAAACAATGCGGGGCTGAGTGGGCATCCTTGTCTCACTCCTCTATTTGTATAAAAACTCTCACTCTCTATTCCATTCACTCTCACAGTATTTACTGTTTCTTCATATATTTCTTCCATTTTCGTTACCAAGTGTGCATCTACTCCCTTTCTCCTCAAATACTCCCACATTTTCTCTCTATTCACGCTATCAAACGCTGCTTTGAAATCTATGAACAATGCGTACATTCGTCGACCCTCTTTCCTTATTTCTCTTCCCACTAAATGCCGCAGGATATACACATTGTCCATAGTACCTCTTCCTTTCCTAAACCCTGCCTGACCGTCTGGTAACATACCCCTTGCTTCCATCTCCTTTCGTAACCTCTCATCGAGTATCATTGCATATATCTTGTACGCCGTATTGAGCAATGTAATCCCTCGGTAGTTCTTCACATCACTTTTTTGCCCCTTTTTAAATAATGGGATTATTATACCTTCTCTCCACTGCCGAGGGAACCTTTTTCCCTTCCAAACTCTATTTACCACTTCCCATATATTTTCTTTCACTCCTTCTGTTCCGAACATCCACGCTTCGTTCTGGATTCCATCCCCTCCTGGTGCCTTTCCTCTTTTCAGTCTTGCAATCTGTCTTCCTATTTCATATTTTGTTATTTCCGAACCTCTCCACATTTCTTCCGTCGCTGTGATTCCTTTATTTATTTTGCAGCATTTTTCCTCACAACCTCCGAATAATTCCATAAAGTGTGTTTTCCATTCATGTATTTTGATTTTCCCGCTGACTTCAGTCTTCTTTCTCCGTTCCTTGTTTATATATCTCCATACTTGCTCTTCTGTTTTCAGGGACTTTATTGTCTTCTCTTCTTCTTCTCGTTTTTCTCTTTTTCTTTCTTCCCATTTTCTCCTATAATTCTCTCTTGCTTTTAGGTACTCTTCTTTCCTTCCCTTGTTATTCTTCCATTTTCTTAATTTTTCCCTTGCGTTTCCCTTCAACTCACTACGTCTCCGTTCCATCCAATATTCCTCCCTTGCCATATGTATATCTTTCTTTTTTTCCGTAGCTTCTACAATTAGGTTGCTCAGTTCCACCATCATAGCTTCTATATCTTCTTTTACTTCGAATTTCTTTTTTTCTAGTCTACTTCTGTATCTTTGAATTCCCTATTCATTCCATATTCTTTTTTCTAGTTCTTTTCCTTCGTTTCTTCTCTTTTGTTTTTCGTACTCTTGCTTTTTTCCTTTTATTTTTATTCCCATAGTCTATAATTGATTCTCCTCTCGCCGCTTCTTTGTTATTTGCTTTATCTTTTGATCCTCTTTTCTTTCCCTTTTCTTTATCTATTATTCTTGTCCCCTTATCGCCCAATCTTGCGTTAAAATCCCCTCCTATAAGTATTTTTTCATCTCCTTTTTCTTTTGTTTCCTTTTCTATGTTTATCTTGGTTTCCTCCATTTTCTTGTTATAAACGGTTATTATTTCCCATCGATTATTATCCAGCTGTATTACTTTTTTCATTAGTCCGTTTTTATTATTACTTCCCTTTTCCAATTCTTGCATTTCTTTTCGAATTCCCATTACTATTCCCCCTCTTGCTCTCCCCTTTTTCTTTTCCTTTGTCTACCCTTGACACTCCCACACATATTCTTGTGGTAGTGTCTCTTCCAATTTCTCCCAGTTTTCTCTTTGTACCCAAGTCTCTACTAGCCCCACAACATCAAATTTTCCCACGTAGTCCCAGAACTCCTTTTCCTTTTTTCGCAACCTTTGGACATTCCAAAACAGTACCTTCACCCCTTTTTCTCCTAATTTTGTACCAGCTTCCCTTTTTCCGATTTCTCTATCTGCATCCTTTATTCCTTTTCCTTTCCCTTTGCCTTGTTTGCTTTCCTTTTTCCTCGTTTTCTTCCTTCTCTTTTGGCTCTTTACTAAAAATGTTCTACCTTCTTAAGTCTGCCCTCTTCTTCATTCCATTTAAAATTTCTGCCGTCTACAGTTAACTTTTTATATCCCATTCTAACCATTTTCCGTTATTTCTCTCTTTTGTTGTCTTTTCTTTTCTCTTGTTTTGAATTTTTCTTTCCGTTTTCGTCAGATCATCATTTATGTAAATTGACGACACTTTTAAGTTCTTCTTGCTGTTCATTACATTTATTTTTTCTTCTCTGTTTTCGAATTCCACTACATAAACTTTCTCTGCAATTTTGTACGCGTTTCTAACTTTACACTCTACTTTGACTTTCTCTTCTAAAAATTTTGTCACCTTTCCAATTATCTGCTTCTGCTCTCCTGTTTCTATTTCCAATCCCATCATCACTACTTTATTTCTTCTCTTTTCTCTCTCCATTCGATCTAGTTGACTTTCTACTTCACCCACTCTCTTTCCTATTTCTTCCTTAGCTCTCTTCCATTCTTTATGCTTATCTCTAATTTCTTGATTTTGCTCCTGTAGTTGATCTCTTGCTTGCTTTAATTCCTCTCTTATTGTTTTAAGCTCCTCATTAAGCTGTGTATTCCATTCGTTCAATAATTTTTATTACTTTCTCTCATATCATCTCTGATTTGTGTCGCAAGTTCGCTGATCATCTTCTTGACCTCCTCCATCTCTATATCTCCTTGATTTTCCTTCTCTCTCGATTGCAGAGGTGATCTTACTGTTATTTTGTTTCTTTGGAAGACCTGCTCGTTCTCTTTCGGCGACTCTACTTCTCTATCCCTTTTCTTTCTTTCTGTCCCTTTACTACTCATTACCTCTTTGTCTTTGACTTCCTTCACTGCGGAAGGATATAACCCAGATCATCTCTTCGGAAGTTATTCTCCTATCCGTGTTTACGTTTATCCGATATCTGTATTGTCAAAAGACTACTTCTATGCAATCCCCAAATACAGAATAGTTTTATGATCGTCAATCCTACATCTGGTATGGTACTTGATGCAACGTGCCATGAAGTGAAACTGCAATGTTATACAGGAAAACAAAACTGTGGCATTTGGAATGTACACAATTATTAACATCGGAAATGTTCCTACCTTGAGATCCCTCGAAGAAAAGAGAGGGTGGGTGGCCGGTACTGGTATCTGGTAAGATAAGGGTGATTTTTTTTCAAGTTCAGCCAGCACCAAACACCAGATTTCTTTAAATTTATCTAAAAATAAAACACCAGGGGACCTAAAATTAATTGCGAACATTTTAAACGTATGGTTTTGAAAACGTTGACAATTTTTCATACGTCAAACATTTTTAACTGCTTACTCGATTTTTGCTTCGCCTTATGTCATGCCATGGCCGACTAGTATAAAGATTATGGCCTGTCCAAAGGAATGCCAAAGGTACCATACGTGCTGCCATCTATTAATAATTCAAAAGCGACAAAAGAATTATTAACACTTTTTGAAAGCCACAAAGGCATTCATACCGAAACAAACCACCATTACACGTTTTGAAGTCCCATAATGTCAAGTCAAATTAAAATTTGGCTAAATTATTAAGTGTAATTATTAATAGATGGCAGCACGTATCGTACCTCTTGGACAGGCCATAATCTTTATACTAGTCGGCCATGGTCAATGGTCATGCAAACCTTGTTGTCAAATGGAATTTTATCAAATTAGAGAGAGTAGTTGTAGAGTCCGTTTTTCCGAATTTATTAATAAATTATAATTTAAGAATCCATCTTCGGCCACTGCCTTTGATTCGAATGTATTATCCTACGAAAACACACTCTGTTAACTTGCTTATGTTTGGTCTGGAGTGAATTTTTCGGACCACGATAGAAAATAGATCAACAATCGCGCCAAAAATAGGCATGCATTGATAAAGTGCAAGAGTTTTTCCATTTAAAAATGTTCCGCTACATATTTCAGTAAGGATACGTGTGACAACTCCGACCAGTGGCGTAGCTAACTGGCACTGCCCCCCCCCACCCCGCAATTTATAGTAAGCGCCCCCATACACCAAATTTAAAAAGTAATATAAATACGCCTATATATTTACTCGTTTGCACATTTTAAAAAAATATATCGGTTACGTTACGGTCTACGCCACTGATTCCGACACGTGCTACACTACACGTATAATACTAATAATAAAACAATGTGCACCATTCTTGATTTGATCAATAAAAAAATATAGACAAGAGCAGTAACAGCGTAAAAAACAAAAAGTCTATGCGATAATCGCTATCTATGCCGTCGAAGTCCGAAGTCGCAAGTTGTGGGGAATAAGCTGACGAACAACCTTGTCAAAGCTCTACTTATACTAGTATAAAAGGTTGCTATAGAGTTTCGGGGGAAACCTCAAGGCGGATTCATAACCCGCAAGTATAGAAGTATGTTATTTCATAAAATTTAAATCCCACTTACTATGAAAAATTGTGAGGAGGTGTCATCACATTGTTGGTGGCATTATCTACACGATATTCCTAACATACATAATTTAAAATTTGACAATAATAGGTCTGGTAGTTTCGAAGAGTATTTGTTTGATAAACAGACAGATAGACGGAAAAGGGGGATTATTTTTTTAAAGTAGCCAGTCGCCCGATGAACCCTATTGCAACAGTAAAAAAGTAAAAATCAGGAAGAAGTGCCATTAAGGAAACTTTATGCAATAATTAAATTAAATTTGATTAGATTTACTTTGTGAAATTTGGTATCTCGATTTGAAAAAAAAACAAGGAGTTATTAAAAAAATGCATAAACTTTGTCTATTCAAAGAAACTACAAATATTGGCTCTATGTTTTTTGCACCGATTTGAGAACTAGTACAAAATAATTACAGTTTCAAAATTTGCATTTGAAATATTTAGATGGCAATGTAAAGTCACGGTTAATTTACTAAACACACTTTTTAATCACTGTGTACATACAAAGATTTAAATATTTCTACGTGGCGTGATGATTTAGATCTTTCTTTCTTCAATAACTGTCGTGGTTAGTTCGGTGGAAAAGTAACTTGAATGCATAACTGAATTTGTGGACAATGGAGGTGTCGGAGAACGTGTTCAGTAGGTATGTCAACTTGTTATGACTGGTGATTTGCTTTGTGAAGATGCCATGCACATATGAGCTCCTTTTAAATGATTGAAAGAGTCTGAAGTAATAATTATGAATAATTATTCGGCAGTATTATACTCATATAATAATACACCTGTGTATTATTATATGAGTATAAATAGTCAGTACGCGCGCACTCCTCGGTATTTCATTAATTAACAACCAGGGTTTGTAGCATACCCTAAAATTGTTGCAATGTTGCAAAGGAGGTTTTTTTATGTGAACTAGTAGTGATCACTTAAATGGCTATAAAGGAAATACCAACTTATCTTATAAAATAATAAAAAACCATTTTGTGCTCACGGTGTGTGATTATTGATTAACAGAGAACTGTGATAATAGCGTAAAGCTTGCCTAAAAAAGAACACGGTTATCAAGATGACCAATTACAATCAGTATACTGTGTAAAAGAGAATGTGTATAACTAGTGCAACGGACAATAGTTTATAACCTGGTAAGATTACACGCAGATGCAACTTGCAGCTGTTTTAAATAAACATGCTTTGCAGGAAATACTTATTTTCCCTGCATCAACCGGTAGAAGATCATAATACGTGCTTCCTACTTCCTACAATTATAAATCCATTTTTTGAGGACAAATTTGTATAAGGCTTTCTAAAAACAGTAACGCAAGTTTAAGTACTGCGTTAAAAATAATGTTGATAAAAGTACACTTTTAAATCTGTGCATAATGGAAGATACGTGACGTGTAAGGTTAATCATTCAGAAGAATAAGCATGTTGCAGGAATTGTATTTCTGCTCCTGAGATTAGATCCCGATCCAGAAACGGATATATCTTATGAATGATTCTGAAGACGTGTGTGTTTGAAAGGTAAAAGAGATAAAATTCGATATAGCCGTTTTTTTAGAAGCAGTGTTCAGAAATTACAACGCTGAAGTATGTATTTATTATTATTGGAAGCAATATATTAGATGCAAGTAAGTTATATAGGAGTAGTTGGGAAAATAAATCAATTATGTCGGCGTGTAATGTGGAAAAACAAACAAACTCTTTGCAGATTCATAACATCATTTTCATACTTTTAGCTGTTATGGAATAATGTACTATCCAGGATAGGTTCAAGATCATCGTTAAGGAAGGTTATTTTATAGAATCCATATTGGGAAAACTTTATTATTATCAATAGGTATGTCAAATTTTGGGTATTTAGAGTTCAAAGTAAACTCTTTAACTGTGTCATCATTTTTAACATGAATCAGTCGATCGTAATTACTATAATTAGTTAAAAAAACTGAATTACATATGATGAAACATTATTTACGATTATCTGTTTCTCGTATACATTCATTCAGTTATTCAATGAAATACGTTTTCCACATTTTGCACACGATAACCGAAGGTTATGTAAACTACACATGTTGAAATAAAATAATTCATGATTTGCTGTTATTATTGTGTTCGATTATATGATAAGACTATAAATATAAAATGAGTGTTTGTTAATGAATATTATATTAAAAATAAAATGTACTAGCCTTCATTTTCAAGAATAATAAACTTGTAACAGTTCCAGAGTATCATTTATAACACACTTGTAAATGTATTTACACTAACGTCTTATACAAGTGTGATTTTTTTAAATCTAAAAATATAGTTTCTTTCACATCTCCCCAAACATGCAAAACGTTCCATTGCTATTACATATTATAGAGATAAAGAGTATATACTCTGATCTTCAGCATAAGGCAGACAGTAGCCTTGAAGTAAACAAGCACGTTTATTTTTCACTTTTCTGAAAAAAATCGCGCATTGGCAAGAAAGACTGTTACAGTTACTAATTTAGCTCTTACGAACATTGTAAATTGTAGAACGACAGTCGGTAGGTGATAAGTTCGCTCGAAAATCATTAAATTGGAAAAGGTAAAAAATATCCATTTGCCACTTCTCTTCCTGTTACCCCAGTTTGAAGTGATAAATGTGTACGAGCTACAAGACATCGTTCGGTCATCAGTAGTTTGAAATTATTTATGACAGAAATTCCCTGACCTCATTTTGCCAACTTGGGTTTTGAACCTAATAATTACACTTGAAAACATATAGATACCTATTATGCGTATGCAGTACAATAATTTTTTAAGCTTCAATGTCAATGTGCCGTTGTAAATTCAAGAAATTTTCCACAAAGTACCCACTATATTTATCATCTATAGCAATTCGTCCCACTGTACTTCTTTATGTCCGTCTATGCTTTAACAAGCGGTCTGAATTCCGGAATTATTCCGGTGTCGAGTTCCTTTCACAAGAATTCTCCACAGATAAGCAAAGACGTCTCATGGTTTTTGGAATATGAAAAGTCTGTAGTGTGTTGGCGAATTTGAATATAATATACTAATTCTAAACTACTAGACTGATTGTTCTAAAATTTTATATATATTTTAGGAATATTCTGTAGATGGTAACACTAACCAAAATACGTCTGGTCATTTCCACCAACAATTTGAATACACCATCTCAAGTTTTTTCACAGTAAATGTTATTTAAATTTTATAAAATACCTGTGAGTTATGATTCAGTCTTGATTTAAAACAAAATCAAAAACAACATTTTACAATTTACCTTAGACACTGCAGAAATTGAATTCTCTGAAATCTTGCAAACGTTTTGGGGTTATCGTAAGCCATGGTAAATCGTTAATCAAATTTATTTGTTTATCGCCCCAGAATTTGACGACGTCGTCTCAAGGTTTTGCTGAATAAATCCTATCGAAAATGTGCAAAATATTATGAGTTTACACTTATAATTTATCAATGCATTCTTATTTTTTAGAACTGCTGGAAATTTTGGAAGTATTACTAATTTAGTTTAACATAGTAGTAATTGGGATCGAGCAGTTAAATTTCCTTTTTTGTTATCCATTGCAAGTAAAATGATGATCAATATAACGGTCATTGTGAAAGACAGTCTAAATAGGAAGCTGAGAGAAAACCAAGGTGGCTTTGGGGTAAGAAGGTTGTATTTGACGTTTAAGTGATTATTATTTAAGTATGGCTGGGAACGACATGATAGGTCCTTAGATATTAGCCCCGAAATTAACAGTCCAAACATTTAGCTTTTTTGAATATCACATGTAAGTGAAGTGAGACAGATTCGAACAGAAGAGTAAGGATAACGAGAAAAACATTTATTTTCTTGAACAAAATATGGTCAGTAAAAATATTACAGTAGAAACAAAACTGAAGATATTTTTATCGTATACAAAGAAACGCGGTACGGGGCCGAAAGATGGACGTTGAACAAGGCACATGTGTAGCACGAATGACAACGAGACAAAAAATTGGTCGAAGTTTATATCGACAGAATTTCCCTCGCACCTGAAGTACAGTCGAACAACAAATCTCGCTTCGAAAACTTATAAAAAGTGAATTTGCGATTTTTGTTTTGTCATAACCTCTATAAAGTGAAAAACAGCGACACAAATAACATCCCCGGAAAATTGCCTCTCAGTAATAATAACATGTTTAACTTCAAGCGTTTATGTTTATACAGCCAAAGAATATCACGTATAAAACTGGTTGATTTGAACGAATTTGTTTCCCTAAAACAGAGTATTAAAATCCTTAATTAAGCCACAATCGAACAAAATATTCTGAATATTATTATTATTATAATGTTTATTTTATCATAATTAAATAAAGACGTGCGTAACATTTTCGAGAAAATGAAAAGCTCAGCACGGCTTTACCAAAGGTCGCGGTTTGGATAGTGCCCTCGCTGAGAATCTAGGTAACGTCGATAAAAAGATAACTCTATAAGACTTTTTACCGACTTTACCAAGGCTTTTGATTGCGTTCGTCACTCAATTTTATTACAAAAATTACAACGTTATGGTGTTAGGGGCAAAGCATATAAGTGGTTTGAATCGTACCTTAATAATAGAACATAAAAAGTAATAGTAAATGACACATCTTCTGACGCAACATCCATTGATATTGGGGTTTCGCAAGGGTCCGTTCTGGGTCCGACTTTATTTATCATCTATGTGACTGATTTGCCATCTTACTTAAGAAAAAAGTGTAACTTTATGCAAATGTCTCACGCAGATGATACTAATTTTGTACTTACAGGTGTTGACGCTGAAGAAAAGGTAAAGATAAAATATGCAAATTTGTGTGAGTGTGTTAATGCTAATAAATGATGTATAAATGAAGATAAAACATCTCTTATCACCTTTTTTAATGGAAAATCGAACTTTAACGATGTTGTATTGCCAAATAGTCAAAATATTAAGCTTTCACACACTGTAAAATTACTAGGATTAACACTGGACAGTCAAATGAAGTGGACGTACTATTTAGAAAATCTATGCCAGAGATTAGCAACAATTTGAACGTGGTCAAAATATTCTATTTTGGGTGCTTTCAAAGTATTTTGTAATACGGAATGGTGCACTGGGGTCTTTCTTCCAAAGCCCAAAGGGTCTTTGTTATTCAAAAATGGGCTATTAGCGTTATAAGTGGTTTAAAAAGAAGAGAGTCTTACAGGAAAGCCTTCAAAGAACTTAGGATTTTAACATTACCAAGTCTGTATTTTGTACATTTATAATGTTGTTTGCAAAGTTTGACAGCAATCGGTCCAGCAGTTGCGGAGATTACGTGTCTAGAAAGACCTACAGACAGACGACAGACAGGCGGAAACGGGAGATCACTTTTTCGTACACTAGGAGTCATGAAACGTCGAGGAAATATGTCAGTAGCACGTCGCACTATGCATTTGATTACTATACTTCTCTAGTGAGTAAAAAATGGAAATGGATTAGACATACCTACATATTTAGAAAACCATACAACAACTTAGCAAGACAGACTCTAGATTTCAACGTAGTATAGGAAAAAAAAACCTTCAAATACTTCTAGAAGAACTACACAATTATAAATGCACAAAGAAAAACAAATATGGTACGACTTAAAAAAAAACTGCTAAAAGACAAAAAAAAACAGGTAGAGAGATTTGTGAAGAGCGTGAATACTGCGCAGGATCAGAACTCTGCTAGGCCTAAACCTAAACAGCTGCTCTGTAAATACGCCTCGAAGCAAGAAAGGAAGAAGAAGAAGAAAAAGGAGAAGATTTTAGCTTTCTGGATTACCAACAAAAATAAAATTCGTACAATCAGATTTTCTAAATTATTTAAAAAACTGGATTCGTTTGATTACATTTCAGGGGCTAGGGGAAAATTTTGTTTAAATAACTTTTGACCAGTTTTTTCTGAAATCTAACGTCTCTTTCAAAGTATGCGTGTTGGTAACAGTGTTACATTTTACTCCTACGTAGATTGATAAGTACACTCAAATATCATTGAATTGAATGTGAAGTTTGATAAATGTGAGATCGTTTGGTCATCTCATCAGTTCATCACTCATCAGTAGTTTGAAATTATTTATGGTAGAATGTCCGAGACCTCATGGTATTGAACACTTGAAAATGTGTATCATGCGATAGTATCGTTTAGACCGAACTACCATAATTTTTGAAACTTGGCAAATTCGATAATTCTTCACAAATTACCCACTACTTATTATCTAGAGCAATTCGTTCCATTGTACTTCTTTGTGTCCGAATATACTTTAACAAGCGATCCGAATTCCGGAATTATTCCGGTGTCGAGTTCCTTTCACGAGAACTCCCCAGATATGCAAAACGTGCCACGGCTATTGTTAACCACCTCGAGCGCCACAGGAATTAGCATTTCCCGAAAAAGCAAAACACGAAGAATTCCGGGGCAAAAAATCTTCGTCCGTCGAAACAATCGCAAATCAAAAAAGCGAAGATCGCGAGACGCGCCAACTAGGCCCACTATGTAAATGCAACAATACGACGGGGTTGATGCGGTCGATACGGATACGCTACGAGCGGTGCCGCAAGCAAGCACTGCCGACGATCGTCATTCGTTCTTTGGCTCCGGCGACGAGAGCATCGCGATACCCGCGCGAAACATCCGACTGTCGGCGGCGGCGGCGTGTGCGAGTTTCAGGTTTTTCAGTGCGTGACGTTCGCTCGAGTGCCACCCCTTCGCGGTCGGGGGTGCGTTTCTGTGGCTTGTGCTGCACGAGGTGGACGGAGGACGTCCTTGCTGCCCATGTGAGCACTTTTTGCTTTTCTAATTGGGGTGGTTTTTTCGCCGCCAAAATTATGCGAGCGGCTAGTGGGGCTGGAAACTTCAAGGTTGCGCGCCTTGCGGACTATCGCACATTAATAATTAAGTGGGCTATTTTTGGCCAAAATCATTTTTTTGGGGTTCTTTATGAAATCCTATCATGAAAATTGAAAATGTCTGGGCTGATGCTTATCGGACAAATTTAGGGGACGGTGGTTTTTTGACGCATTTTTTAACGGCAAAAAATTTTCTTTCGGGGTATATCATGAATAAAAGTGGAAGTTCATTAATATATTATACACTAAAATACACTCAAAGTTTGTGTTACTATCGCTTTTACACATTTGATTAATTTGTTTAACACTTGTCGGATGATTGTGGTTTAATGTTTTATGAATAATATTTGCTTGTAATTAAATATACTTTTTTTCTGACGCTGGATAGTGGAAATGACTAAAACAATTTAAATAACAATTAAAAATTTAGATAAAACTAATATACCACATCCGTAAGGCCATCGAGGCTGCAACCTTCGAATTTAAAAAGAGTTAATTTTTTCGCATGTTGTGATTTGAGTGGTAAAATAAACCCTTTTTTAACGATGCGTTGTCCATAGCAACGTTATAAATACATTTCTGTAGTAATTAACTAATTACATTACTCACATCACAAAAATAAAAAAATCAGGTTACGGGACACGATGAAGAAACATAACTCTTTTAATTGAATATAAATCAGTTACAGAAATTGTGTGTTAACTTATTGGAAAAATTATTTAGCGCCCTCGACAAACACCTCATTAAAAAATCAATATCATTTTCCAGGATTCAGAATTTGACAAAAACACTTTCCACGTTATATGGAAAATTATTTTTATTAAGAATACTGTTTTTTGTTACCTGCTAGATACGTCTTTTGTCATGGATCCTGCAAAATTTTTCATTTTATGTAACCCCCTTCATTCCATGAAAATCTGGAATTCGTTATGCTTAGATTTTCCCCCCAGCAAATTTGATATGGCAGCAAAAGTTTGGTTGAGAAATCGGGAAAATTAACGTTAGGCTTCTCCCTCGGCTGATGATCGTTTTGAAGAAAATTTAATAGGATATGCAAAATTATTTTGCACTTAGATTTTATTTAATTATATATTTTGTTTGATCGTTTCAGTTCCACAGACAAATTATGAAATTCGTAACAAAAATTTCTAAAAATCGGTAACTGAAAAAATTTATTACATTTATCTTAAAAAAATCTTCTGATTATATAAATTGAAGAAAACAAGATATTAAAACAATAAAATGATTAACCTTCTCTGAGTTACACTCCTGTTTCCTGAAATTTCATCAGTTGGTGCAAAATATCATAATAAAATTGCAAATAAAATCATAAATTAACTTGTTTGCGAAAACAGTTCCACCCTAAAACGCAGCAGAACATGCAGTGCACAGACTGATGCATTAAAACAATGTAATTATTGTGTGAATTGGGTGTGTTTTGCGCTCATTGTAAAGTATTTGTGCAGGTCATAGTCATAACCAACAATACAAAAAGAATAATTTAAAAACTTGCTTAATCTTAAAAAAAAAACGTAACATTGGCCACAGTAAGCAAGACTAAGACTAATTAAGAGGACTATTTTTTGACCGTGGGCCAAAATCGTATTTCGGGGTTCTTTATGAAATGTTATCATGAAAATTGAAAATGTCTGAGCCGATGTTTATCAGGGAAATTTAGGGGATTGTGTTTTTTGACGCATTTTTTTAACGACAAAAACAATTTTCTTTGTGGTTGAGTCATTTAAACTGTTTTTAACGTTGAACCTTTTTTGTGTTGTCCGTAGCAACGTTCTAAATACATTTTCGGTAATAGGTTACATTGCTCCATATTTTTTCACATTTGCACTTCCCCAGTGTAAGCCAAAGAAATATTGCAATTGAGTGCGTTGACCGATGCTCTACTTTTACATTTTCTTGACCTTTGATGACCCTTAGAGTACGAAGAAATAGGTCTCCCGTTTTTATTAAGAATCTGGTTTTACATCTTTTGCCATGAATTTTGAAAAATTCTCACTTTATTTAATCCTGATCGTTGCACTAAAATCTTTAGATTTTTACTTTCTCAGCGTAAACGATTTTTATTCGGGAGATCCGAAACTACTGGACCGACTGTTGTCAAATTTTGTATGTATATTAGGGGTATCATGTAGATTGTAATTTATCCACACCAACAATGGGATAAGGGCATGTCCAATATTTACAACAAAATTTTTTTTTAATTGAATAAAGCAAGATACTCGTTCACTTGTGATAAAATAAAATATTCGTTCATCTTGGTTTAGTTTTCACCCTAAACATCCATCCATCAAAATTTTATAACATCTAACTTTGAAAGTGTAAAACCGAATGCTTTGAAATCTTACAAACGTATTAAAGTTATCATAAGCATGGTAAAGTTTTAATCAACATTTGTCCGGTTATCCCCTCCGAAAAAATTGATCACATCAACTCAAAATTAAGAGAAGTTGAAACAATTGTCTATAAATGGGTAATTAATAGCAATTTATAACACAAGTGTAAAAAAAATATGTTTACGACACGCCTACGAAAACACACGAGTGCCTTAAACACATTTTTCACAAACACTTCATACAAGATTTTTCTTACGAGTATTGTAAACTTCAAAAATTAGATTTAAACTGAACTTGGCTTGATAATAATCAAACCATTGTAGGTAACTCAATACGACGTTCATAGTTTTTTTAATTCGTGAAACTTACAGTAGGAATTTTATTTCTATTTTTATTTTTTACCTTTTACACTAATGCGAAAAATCCTTACTTTTCACGCTAGTGCGATAAAATGGTACTTATTAAACGTAAATTCATGTGTAATGAAAGACTTCAATCATAAGATTCATAAGTATTATATAAGTTATTTTTCGTATTCTTCCTTCTTGAAATTATTATTGCTGCAACCTTATATTGGTATATAGTTATTGTTAATTCTTATTAATAATAATACAAAATTAAAATAATATTTTAACAATTAATTTAATATTATCAAAACGAACGTAAATTTACCATAACGAGTACGACTAACAAGACGATGTCGTGGTTACATCATCGCTATCGGAGTGTTGCTTCGAGGAATGATAACAGGAGGGAGCATAAGCTTGCTTGCACTTTAAACGTGTTGGACTCGGCAGTAGATCTTTTATGACCATTTTCCAGAGGCACACCGAACAATCTGGTCGCTCTGGGTTGGAATCGTATGAAGACAATGGCTTAGAGAAAGATAACAACTGGAGTTTGCAACTACTTGATGGTTAATTTGTGATTTGACAACAATTATTCTTAAGCTGTAAAGTATGTAAGTGCGCATAATTCAAATTTGCGTGTTTATCTCCCTCCCCAAATTTGCTTTAGATACGCCACTGGTACTGGCAAATTTTGTCAATTTCAGACGAGATCGTTTATTACTTTGCCTAGACGTGCAAGAAAATGCTAATTTAAGCGTTGCTTCCTTCTGTTATCTTTGTTCCGCGGAGTGTTGTGTGTGTGGTGTGCCCCGTTATACAGTGAGGCTTTTTTCTTATTTTTAAATCGTTATTATTACCAGTAAAATTGAATTAAAAAATAATATTAGCTGCTGACTGTTGGAATAACTTTTACTTAGAAACATGAAAGCAAAGAAAAAATGCATATGACGACGACGTTCACTGTTTTTGTAGACGTAACAATGAATTTGATATTATTTTAACTAGATAGTACTTAGCGTAGAGTTGTGTTTGTTTTCTATCATGTATCATCACATTTCATATTTTATCTTCCCCGCAGTTTTTATGTCAATTTATGATTTCTTTTTTTAAACGCGCAATTCTCAATTTATTATTGTCCATATTTCGGAGTTCGTTTTCAGCACCTAATGAATAACCATTATTTATTGTGACCTCTGTTTCAGTAAATCGAGTAATTTATGCTAACAGTTTACGAAATGTGTGTATTTTCTTGGTAATACTCAGTATTTATCTTCTGGAGATTTTTTCTATCTCTGTTATTAAATCTCCTTATAATTTTAAACAGAAAGGTGTATCTTGTTTGTTGGTTGTAAATTCGCCGCTGTAGCTGCCGAGTTCTGAACTCGTTCATTCTACGCTCTTGCGCCATTTAATTTTATAATACCTGTGATCGGAAAGTTTCCATATAAAGTTATCAAGTTTCCTTTTGCTGATAGCGCACTAAATAACAAAGGGAATGATACATTTGACAGTCTGAAAAGAGTTAATAAAATATTGGCATCGCACGAATTGGCCGATAGTGTCTATAAAGAAGAAGAGTCCTTGATCTGTCTGCTCTTCGATTAATATCCTTCCCCTTCCTTTATGCTACACGGATTGTTGAATCTGCAGGGGAGTTATTTTTGCAGTTATTTATTGTACTTTTATGCGACCTATAATTGCAAACTAGAATCTCACTTCTTTGGCGATGAGTTTAAAAATTAAAATAATGCAACTAACTTTTATTTCTACGATTTTGTGGCTGTACTTGTCAGTGTAGAAGTATCGATTTCTAAAGAAGATTAGCCAAGTTTAAGGAGCTCTACTATGTATCCGATAAACATGCTAGTCGACGTTGATATAGCTAAAATGAAATGGGTTATTCGTTTTCTTTTTCATTCATTTATTAGTGTGTCTATCTGTATACATATTCATGTTGCCATTATTAAATATTGCACAATTTTCGAGAAATTACCGTTTATATGTAGTTTAAAAATTTACATCATTGGTGTTAATGAAGATTTATGCATAATTAATTGATACTTTACAAAGATTACCGATAAATTCTTTACACTTGTTTCCTAAAACGAAAGTTAAATATATTTCTACAGCATGTCTCGTAGACACACTATTGTATCATGAAAATAACATTTTATTTTGTTCCTAACTAATAATTGCGCTAACAACGTACTCGTGTAGTCGCCAGGCG